GCTCTCCCTCTCATGCCTTCTCTCGGTATCCGCTCTGCAGTTGATTTTTTTCCATCTCTCAGAAGTTTTTATTTACAATCCTGTTGCCATTTATATTTTAGGTGAACCTGGTAATGATAAGTAAAAACCCACGTTTTTTATTTTTTGTGTGCAGTCGCTGGTGACTGGGCTCAGACCACCAACTTGCTACACATTCATCCAGCTGTTTGGATTTGAACTTAGGTCCCTTGGCATTGCAGCTCAGTTCTCCAGCACCTTTTAAAAATAATAATTTCAAGTCCATAAAAGTGCGAGACCCAAGTAAAAACATCAAAGGCTATGTGTACTGAAGATGCTATTGCATGATTTCTTAACTGGAATGTTGTTTTAGACAGAAAGACGTTCACTGTCTGATTGGTGATATCATTCATTTTCAATATTTTCAATACTATTACGGTGGGGAATTCGTAAATGAGATTCGAACCAAAATGGCCCATTACTGTACTTCAGTTGTCACATAGCTCCACGCTTAAGCCTCGATTATTAATTTAAGTAAGAATGTAAGTTGGAAGTTACACCTCTGTGGCCAGCAGATGGCAGCTTTTCACACTGGCGTTCAAGGTTTCACTCCAGCAACTCAGAACAACTTTTCATGAAAAATGCATGTCGCGTGTTTTTGAGTTAACACCCATATAGTGACTTAAAAATAAACAGTTTAGTGTCCACAAGTGTACACTTAAATAGTAATAATAATGTACATACCGTTATCAATCCAGTGTCTCCCTATACCAGGTCAAGGGGTTGTTTGGGTCATACTTCAACGGTGCATGCTGATGGAGGGAACCAGGACCGGTACAGATATCACTTGCCACTGATGTTAGCCGTGGCAAGGAATCAAACAAGGTTTCGTTGGAGTAATACTCGTAAGTTTAGTACGTTAACTGCTGAGCTACCACTCTACGCCGTGTGTAAATACCTGTAGCATGATTTCCAAATGATAAGCCACTTTGTTGAGCTATCATTTGTGGCAGCCAGGTCGCTTCTGCAAAAATAAGTTAATACTTCAGTGAGCTTTGCCTGGTAGGATGTGGATGGTTTAGTGTTTTGTATGTGTTTGGGTGGTTTTTTGACCTTTCTTGTACTTTGCACTGCTATCGTGTGTTTGTGCTGTGTTGTTGTAACGTTCTTACCCGCCCCGACTGGACATGTGAAAAACAGAATTATAGCTCATCGGATTTCTCCAGTATAAATAAATATTCTGATTCATATTTATAATTCCACGATTTTACGTAAATACAGTGATACACAAAAGCAGCATGTGCAACACCGCTTATAAAAAAAATATATACACGTGTAACAATGGTCCCAGTGTAACTGGATATTCTGTCCTTTGTTTGCAACACAAATAATCTCGGTGAACTTTGTTGTGGTGTTTACGACAACACGACGTTGTGTAGCAAGGTTGCGAATGTGCTATGTCACAGTCGTTAATTCAGTAAAGGAATTGTTTGGCATTCTGTTCACAATAAATTATTCTTTCAAATAATTTTTTTTTTAACAAAATAAGATTTGGCAGAAAATTTATTATGAGTCACAGATGGATAATGTGACCATTAACTGATCTTTTTTACTTCGTTTTTCCCAACTTGTCGGTAGCGATTCTCATACAACGTGTCTCCTGCGTTTTTGTTTTTACAATGGCAATAGAAACAACGTGTGTGGTGTAAAAAGTGTTGTTTCTAATTTCTGTATCCGTAGAATGGGAGTCTTGTATTATAGTGACAGGATGCAGACCCTCTTGTAATAACACTGCAGTCTGGTTTCATGGCACTATCGCTGCAGCTCGAATAATAAAACCATGAAAGATGGCTAAAATAATAGACAATTCAAGAATTTCCTTTTTCCCGATTATTAGATGCACATTTTCCCACTGTCTAGCGAATTAAAGCAAAAGTTGAAGGTGCATTTTATAATCTGGTAGGTGTGCGTTTTTTTAAAACCGAATTTGTATGACTTTATTGACTCCATCTCATAGCCCCGGGAATCCAGTTACAGTATTTAACCCCATTACCACAGGCGGGGGAACAGTTGCAAAGTGGTTAGCGCATTGTGCAATTAACCTGGAAACCTGAGTTTGATTCCCATTAATGGATAACATTAGTTGTGATATCTAATTGATTTTGGGCTCCGACCACCTTGCGGTTACTTGCACAATTGGGAGGCCTTCATCCAGCATTCGATTGACAAAGAGCTATTTATTCTCATTTCAACACAAGTACGATGAGTATTCAACAATACCGCCGCGGTTAATTGGTGTTTAAAAAAAAACACGACAAAAAATGGAGAAGGCAAATGTATGCTTCGTCTGTGAACCTCGTCAATGGGGAATGTTTCGTGAAGTTATGTCGAGCATGTGCTGTAGCCACAGTCACGTTGGGCAGCATTGTGGTTTTGCACTGGCTCATTAAATAACCGGTCGTGATATTTCTTTTCGAGGGCCTCTGTTTTAAAAGGATATCATTCACAGCTTTGTGTTTCCCTTTGCTGCCCTGAAGAGGCACCTTAAGCCGAGTCGATGTGGAGGACAAAAGGAGGTTGCAGTAACATTGATTTGAACGCAATATTAGGCACCTCGATAATGAAATTCTTCTGCTTCTTTCCATAAGGATCTCCCTCGCTATTGTTGCTTTTGCTATTGTTGTTTTTCTAGTGTTTGTAATAATTGCGCGGGTACCATGACATAGCAGGACACACCTGGTACTACAATTAGAATTTCTGCTTCAGCGTTGGGCAAATATGATCCGCATAACAATATATCGTCTTCTGTTTGGTAGGTAGATTCCTGTGTTTTTTTGCCCATGCATGTGGATGGTGCTATGCACGTTTGTAAGCGCTGGATATTTATTTGTATTCATTTGAGCAAATATAATGTTATGCTTGTCCACCCAGAAGCCCTGTTTTGGCGATAATTCCCAGAAGATATTTACACTCTTATAAGTCGGACTCTCAGATGTTTAAGTGAGCACCAATGCGTTCTACCGGACCACACACCCCCAGCCCAGGTCAGCTCCATGCAAATGTGAAGAATATTTTTGTCCTTGGATTTAAAATTGCTTTTCCTCATCATCATCATGAGAGATCAGCATCCTGTATGGAAACAATACAGCTGTGCCGGATCACTGACACAATACATGGGATAAGGCAGAGACAATGAAAGGTCTTTTGTCCATTGAGCGAAGGGAAAGACCACTGTGGCCACGCATTTTTTTGGATGATGATAATGATGATGATGTACACTGAGGATAGTTTAGCCCAGCTTGTTTCAAAGTACATTTTGATCATTCATATTAGCTTGTGGTTTGTCATGGCAATAGTGTTCAGTGGGCTTCATCGCAATACTAAAACATTGCTCTCCGATGTGCGTTTGTGTTGTAGCGAGTGTTGTTCGGTATGACCGCTGACGATTCTCTCCACGTGCTGAGAGCTTCTTCAGCGACAGTCCTGGAGGAGCTCCCTGCAATGTGTAGCAGAACGTCGGACATCATGACTAAGTATACGTGGTACAACAAAAAAATACACCGGAGAGAAGTACAGCACAACTGTGACAATCTACGCAAGAGTAACATTGCAAATTTTTTTTAATGTCTGGAATATAAACACTGGAAAGGAAAATCATGGAACCTTACTGTCATAAATAAGCTTGATTTGTTTTCATCTGACAAGGCCTTTCCTTAGGGAACAGTCACATAACAGCAGCATCCTTTGTGGGAATTTAAGAAATAAATGTCTGAGATGACAGTGTGTTTGGGAAGTGTACGCTTTACGTTCATATGTTTTTGCAGCTGATGTTCCGAAAAAATAATAATTCATAGACAAACTGCAGATTTATCGTATAAAGGCCCATTGTTGATACTTAAACACAAAATCACGTAAATACGTCCATCACATTTGTTCTGCAACAAATACAGTACTGTAGCTTAACATGTAGGCTTTCGCGACCAATATTATCCATAAGAGAGGTTTTTGGGTTAGATCACGTAAATATAGATGTCGTTACACCCGCCACCACCCGACATCACCAATTAGTAAGGTTTGTCACGTAAACAAAACGTGCCAATTCGTTACTAGTTCAGCACACTGGTGTGTTGGAGAGTAAACCCACAACATTTACGATTCGAGTACGACGTTTCGCCGGTAATTCCAACCAGCATCATCAGGCAACAGCTAGCGTTATGGATAAATCCTCCTGTTTCGGTCTTGAATAGAAGGATACATGTGATATCGTCACTACTTACTGTACTTCGTATGCTGTGCAGAATCAGTTTGATTTCAAATCTGATCCAATCAGAACAATTGCACGGATCGCAATTTGACTTGGTAAAAACTGGCAGCACATGTACTAATAGTATAGATTATATTTGTACATCTTGAATTTATATGTCCATCAACCTACTGCTGAATGAAAGCCACCTCACACCATGTTAGTTATGGGGGTTTGTTTGACTATACTTCACCACGCTGGTCAGTGCGGGCTGGTGAAGTGGGTCAACCAGGATTGGTTCACATATCACTCGCCACTGATGCTATCTGTGGCTGGCAATACAATTTTTGCTCGGGTCTATTCAAATTTGAGTGTGCGAACCATTAATCTATTGCGCTAAGTCGATATGCAGTGTACGGTATACAATACACTCCTGTAGAATTTACATTTAAATGGAACCGTATCTCTTAGATGCTTTCCAGGGGGTACATTTTGTGGAATAAACGATCTATGCACATGAAAAGAAATGGGTCTCAAGTCTTGACTTGAACAAGGGCAGAGTCTCAACGCCACGAAATTCATCAGGCAGACAATTCCAGACAACAGGAGCAGAAGCCGAGAAGGAGCGACCTCCTATGGAATTACGTTTTTTTGCGTGTTTAGTTTGTTCTCCTTCCCCCTGCGCCTCCGATTAGCACAGTTGGCTACGTACGGTAGGAAACAAGTTCAACATTCCATATAGACAAGTTTGACTGCAGGCTTTGTAAGAAGGAGACCTTTATTGCTGGAGCAGAGACAATGTGGCAGATAATAGTGCGATGAGAGATTATATTTGTGCACGGTGTAAATTAAACTGTACGTGAACACACTTTATGTGATAGGTTCAAGCATCGTTTTAAAATGGTATTGCAAAACATCTGTGCTGTGTATATATGTGCTCACTGGAAATTTTAACAACACATTAATTGTGGAAACAATGTAAAAAAGAAAAAGATTGACGTGTTTGGCAGAGAATATGAAACATACCAACAAGCTGTGAAAAACAAAACATTGTTATTAACTGCAATAGCTGCGTAAAACAATGTTCTTTACGAGTTAGTAGATTACATGCCATTATTATGCTGTACAGTTTAACTCTTATCTGCGACCCTATTACCCACAACTCCTATTATAAATTGGCGCTGTAGGGTCTACCAAAACTCATATTATCTGCGGCCCTATCGTCCCTATGATCTGTAGTTATTCCCGTCCTGATTTGTGGAATGACCACATTTTCACGGTTAAGAGAAGCTCAACGGAAAATGCATCTGGTTATCCGCAATTGTGCGCTTTGTTTTCGTACGGATAAACTGGAGTAAATTTGTGAATAACCCACAATAGAATCCGTGACGTGTGTACCCCACATCACCGCGTATAAGAGTTCTACTTATTTTACTCGATTGAAGTGCATAGCCGTTCAAGAGATCGATAATACCAACACGATGGAACTCATTGTTCACGAGAACCTCACTATGATCATTTAAATCGGTCCCAGTTGATACCACCTTGATGTGACACCGTTAGCATGTTCATGTTGCTTTCAAGTATTGGTGGCATTCTGATTGTCCCACATTATTAGCTGAACAGGTAATGCTACCGCATGTGAAGAAATATGTGGAATTATCTTTACCTTAATAGTCAATCACTCTACAATTGTATGAGCATACCGCCTATTACATCCAATGTCTAAACAGCTATGATTATGAACCATACCAATTTGAATGTCTTACTTCACTATGGTTACTAACCTTATTTTACTGCATATGTATGTGCATATATAATTTGTATTATATCTGCTCAACACAATTCTTAAAGACACACAAGAGGCTTCTAAGATGTTTTCTACAAAAAACCCCAAGAAACTACGGTAATTAATATGTAAAGAAGCAATTTCAACACACGAAAAAAATGCCAATGATACATATCTCAGAGGAGTCATATATAGTGTACCTATTAACACGTTCAGGTGTAGTTGTTGCATACACAAGAGTTAAATACATTTGGTCTACCAAAGACTGTTGCTATTCATAATAAAGTTTTTTTGGGTTAGCTCGTGTAAAAATATAAATGTGTCGTTAAACCCGCCACCACCCGACACAGCTAATTAGTAAGGTTTGTTGAGTAAACAGAACGTGGCCAATTCGTCACTAGTACAGCACGCCGGTGTGTTGGAGAGCAAAGCCACAACATTTACAATCCGAGTACGACGTTTCGCCAGTAATTACAACCAGCTTCATCAGGCGACAGTCAAACTGTTACCTTTGACCATTAGAGTGAATTACACCGCGATTTTATGTAGGACATTAAGAGATTATGCGGCGTTAGTCATGGCACTGTCTGGCTTACCAACTTCCCACTAAATTTTCCATTTTATGCATAATAGTTATCTTACAATATTACCCAAGTCCTGAGACATTGACTGCCGTCATAACAACCGTTTCCCATTTACACCTTGCAATACCAAGATAGGCACTGTTATTTTATTTGCACATTTTCTTTTCCTTGTTTAACTCATACTTTTAGATCTAAATATATTAGCTAACGGCACTCTTTGAATTTACGTACGGCAGTTAATTCACTCTGAATACAGATAACTAATCAAAACCAGCTGTAATCAGACCACCCATTTATCATTTAAGATACGTATACGGTTTAATTTTATACAGTTTCTAAAGGCCAAGAGCAACGCATTAAATCTCGTAAAACTTGACCAGACCGGGAAATTGACAAAGGCGCATTTCCACGAATGGAACAATCGTCACATTCAAAGTAGAAACTGCCAAAAAAGCACCACCTAGCGTGTTGTTGTGTTGTTGTCATCTCTCACGAGTCGGCTTGAGAGCATTGCTTTGGGTGGGTGACTGCCACGGAGAACCAGGTCGGCATTGCGCTGTGAGGATATACGTGGTGGGCAGCAGCGGGCAGTGCAGACAAAATCAAATGGACTTATCTACCTGATATGCACCAACGTCTAATGCCGCCTGCCTACACCAATCTGCACTGACTCGCGTGGCGAGGCACGGTCAAATCACGCCGATGACCCACACAGCTTGAGGCCCTCATCCAACAGTGGATCGATGACCCCTCCCAGGAACTTTGGGAGAAGCTTCCGGTCTGAGACAGATTGGCAACAACGTATGTACGTTGCATTTCTTTCGCACCGTACGTAGCTAACCGTGCTAATGCACGGATTGCATGAAATGGAGTCGGCATCAAGTAGATAGGTCGAGGTCAGTTTGAAAATCTGATAGCGTAAAGCCAAGAACCTAACACACACTAACATGCATATTCTTTTGCCTGGGAAACGAGTGATATAAGTGGCTATCGTGTCTGTGTACGGCGAATCAGGATTTAAGGTTACAATAAAGTGTCGTGCTTTGGAGACCCTGAGGCAACAAACTGGCCAGGTAGCTCAGTGGTAGATGCAGGGGGGGTTGAGTCAGCCGACCATCCCTCCAGGGTCCACAACACTACGCGAGTACCACGCTGTGGAGTTAGTCAACAGTGGTTGTCCTACGGACATACTTGTCCCCGGCACATGAACGTGGAATTTACACCACCGGCTCAGGGCTGTAAACGGGAGATGAGCACCGCATCGATGCTCGTTTGAGCCGGAAATCGCCGATTCAGATTATTTTGACGACCGTCGGAGTGCCACTGGTGGTCAGTCTGCACTCCCGCATGCTGCCTTCGACGTGACGCTTTGTGCTGCAGGGTATGGGCGGTGGGCCATTGCGCCTGCGGTAGCATCGTTAATTCACTCGTCTTGGCCATGCAGAGCACCGAAGCTTGTTTATTCATTTCAAGACAAAGTGAGGTGGTCCTGCGGTCCTGCTCGCCTTCCCGGCCGCTGCCCCCGATGCTGGTTATCTATCCACGTTGGCACTGCAAAGTCCATCCCTCAGAACCGTGTGTCATTTTACGAGTTGGAAAAAAAAAGATTTAAAAGTGTGTTGCCGTATGCTTTTTTGTTCCAAATAATCTTCCTCTGAGTCAATAATTGTTTTGGTATTTATATAAACACTTACCATGGGGCTGAGTGCTTAGATTTGAGAGTGAATGTTTGATCAGGTTTATGTTAGCGTTAAGTGTAGCGTGGGAACGTAGGCCACATATCCGGGGGAGGGGATCTCTACAGCTCTCTCTAGCGGAGGTCCTTCTACGAGCAGTTGCACGGGTAAGAATGTGCAGGGCTGCACCTTTACCCACCTACCTTTCACACGTCAGATTCATCAGAGGCAGGTCCCATTGAGCAAAACTGGCACGAGATGATGACGACGGCGACGACGACCCTTGGCGACAATGTGAACGCAAGCTGAACCCGGCCAAACGGTTCCGTTGCAACAAATGACCATATCTTGCGCACGCACACAAACATGCTCGCGTACCCACACAATAACCCCCCCCCGAAAGAGACATTTATACTTGACAAGACAGGCCAAATACGGCGGAGTGTGTTCTCTATTGCTTGCTGTTTGACTTGGCGCGGGAGCTCTTCTCCGCTGGCTTCTTCTTGGGAGCCTTGGCCGGCCGCAGAGCCGAGCGCTTCGAGTTGCTCTTGCTCTTGCTCGTCGTGACGGTGTAACTCTGGAAGGTCCTCGTGATTTTCGTCACCTTCACCATGCCGTGCACGTAGTTGAAGGACACGCCACTGACCTCTGCGAACGATAAACGGAAGCGCAGCAGGACGTTGCACCAGACCCGGGCGGAGAAAGGCCGCGGTCTTAGTTTCCCCGTGAAGGTCTCGCCAAACCCGCTGTCGGGCACTTTGAGTGTGCTCATTGTGCAAAACTGCGCCGAGCTTTAAGAAAAAACAATCAGCCGAAGGCGAACGCACGGCCCCTGTAACCGCTCAGTGGAAGCACCTCCGCACGAGGGAACTATAGACAGCCCTTTGAGAACGCATTTGGTCACCTCTGTCATGCCGGCCTGACATCTTGTAAGAGGTGTAGGGCATCTCAGGGCTGCAACTTTACCCTCCGTCGCTTTCTAGAGCCGTTAAACAGCATGGGCTTGGCACTCGGAAGCACTTTGGGTATAAGAAGGGTTAACGACTTCACCTTTGGGCCTGAAGAAGGTGTTGATAGAATGGATCACTCCGTTTGTCGCCATCTGATCCGTTTCATCCAGCTCCTTCCCGTTGATCATGCAGTGGCCGTTTTTCTGTGGAATGTGCAAAACAGAGTCAATGTAAATTCGCATTTGATGCATGGTCAACGATCAGAGGAACCCAGTCCACTCCAGGCGTGTATACAAACAAATGGTTCGAAACATTCAGTTGTTAAACAGATTCACGGTAATCACGATTCAACGTGAAACATTCGCAACAGTTTTTTTTGGCAATTGTTGTCGGTGGCATTAACTGAATTAAAAACAGTGATGACTACCCCGAACTCACCTGTGTGTTTTATGAGTATGTAATAAATGTAATTGTCCCGGTCTCTATACAAGAAAATTTGTATCAACATGGTCCACCTGATCTGTAATGGTGGAACGATACATCAATCAATACATTCATATTGATCATGAAGCTCATGATATATTTATCAAATCGTGTGTAAGAATTGACATTATACGATCCCTACAGGCTGAATGAGATTGGCTCGTGCCAACAAATGTGGCCACTGGAGGTGCTTTCGGTCACTACCCCAACATCAGGTAAAATAGCTAATGCTTTCATTTGAATTATGACCTTGGATCGTGATATGATTTCCACAGTGGTGTGGAGGGGGAAAAATTGTTCAACATCACCATCGGCCATGGTCAATCCACTGATGGATGACTGCCCAGGCCGTCGCCACCTATCGTAATCATGGGATGTAATAATCCGACTCGTGCCTGCACACGGAGCGATTTAATTCCTCCCTCAGATTGTTTAAACGATTGCACGTTGAACTTCTTTCGCAACATATGTAGCCAACCGTGCAGATCGGAGGTGCAGGAAATAGTATATTACAAACCCGAGTATATTACAAAGTCTATCACGTAATACTCTGTACAATACAGTATATTACATTGCATATTATACAATGCGTCAACAAACTGAATACATTAGTCAATGCTGTGCGTACAGGATGCTGGAATCTGCAGTGCAATCGCGCGACTGAAAACATTGCTTTCTGCATCCCCACACACCACACAACGGGGAGCAACAATTTACACTACTCAGAGCCCGAATCTTCCCAAGCATCAGCGATTCCAAATGTAAGGAACGCAGCCGGTGCAATTGAACCGGTTCCAATTCACTGCTTGCATTCCACACGTGGTTCAGGGGACGGTCATCACGTGTTTGTCATTAGCTGCGGAGCTGTGCTGTGTACCGTTGGGGAGTTTGGGCTTAGCCGCGTAACCCCCCCCCCCACCCCCTGGGGCGCAGTGGTTGGCTCAAGAGTGCATCACCGTTGTGGACAGCATTCGTGAAGGGAAAACAGGCGCAGCCCTGCACTTGCTTGCTAACGCCACCGCTGGGAGAAGGGCCCCCCACCAGAGGGAGCTCAAGAGAACACCTTTGGAGGGGATTTGGCCAAACATGCTGGGCAGACATCTTAAACGAGGTGGCAGTGCCCACGCTTTCCCTCACTACACGCAACCGCCTGACCGACCGCGGGGTCCCCGTTTACACCGCTGGGTGGGCAGAGAAGCGGGAATATAAAGAAAAACAAACTCGCGCTGTTGTTTCGACTGGCGCTGGTGGGAGTGGTAGCCACTCCTGAATGATACTGGAGAAGCCAAAGACGATTCGAACTCAATATTGATTTGAAGCTTCGTGACTGCAGGGGTCCACACTCTTTGGTTCTTTCGGTAAAGTTACGTAAGGTAGAAAAATAAAATAAATCACGACGTTTCGGGCGCAACACACAAGCGTCCGTCATCAGGTGGGAAAAAAATGACGGACGCTTGTCTCTTGCGCCCGAAACGTCGTGATTTATTTTATTTTATACCCACGTGACTTTACCGAAAGAACCAAAGAGTACGATTATCACTGGCGGCTCTCCTTCACCAACTCGGCCCTCACTGACCAATACATCTCCGTGACTGATGTAAGCATGGGGAAGCCTTCGGGCAGCGGTGGAATTTCAAAGGGCTGTAACTTTACGTACCCTCTGAATCACCAATGCCCCTCCTTGCGCCTACTGATTTAATAGCCCTGTGGATTTTTTATTTGCTTGCCTTGGAAGTTTTTTTTTTATGTCGTCATAAATTCCAGAAGAGTACTTCACCCAGGTCTATAATGCAAATTTGCCGGGGCTAATATCTGTAAAATGTTAAAGGTATGCAATAACAGCAGTGAAAATAAACACATTTACGGAATGAAATGGCCAAACCAAATATTTACACGTATGTGAACGAAAATTAATAAAATTCGAAAAAACACCGGGAAAAACAAATATTAAAAATAACAACAATAACAAAATCATCGTATGTTGCCAGTTTCATGGCACGGCGCTGGCGTGAACCATTTTCGTCACTGTTGCTCAAAGGACGATTAAGCCACAGCTGAAAAACACCCCCCAAGAGACCCCCGACAGCGGCAGCTTGAGTTTGGAGTTCATGTCGGGCACTTGTGCTGGGTTTCCAAGGAAAACAGGCTCCGGATACTCCGCTGGACATTTCGAAACAGCTGCAGCGGGAAGCAGCTCGTGCAGCACAGGATCGTTACGGCGGTTAATTTAGCCACTTTGCATCGCACGCCCTGAGATATACGGCAAGGCAGAATGTTTTTTTTGTGTGATTTGGGCAGACGGGAGAATAGCGCCGATGTAAGCGCATGCCCGATGACACAAAAACGGCCACAATGTTTACACCGCACAAGATAAGGCAATCACCAATTCAAAATAACATCGTAATATACAACATTATTATCGGAGGTGGCTTAATCACCCCGTTGCACCGGATCTCGTCAAATCTCCAGAGAAGCTAAGCTGGTTTGAGCCTGCATCGCACTTGGACCCACCATGCATAAAGCAGCTGTTGTAGGCTGCTGCCGCGCTACGTCATGTACACAGAACACTGCGGCAACATCCTTTGTTCTACTGTGATATGCTCCGAGAAAGGTGGCACGGTGGTGAGATGTTAACTACCTCCCCTGGTATAAAGGAGCCCATGGGTTCGATCCCAATCCTGACGTCTGTATTTATCAAGTTTGCATGTTCTCCCCGCGGGTTTCAAGTGCATAGCTCCAGCGGCTTCCTATTATCGGAATGAAGAGCGTTCCAGACGGCCGCAGAAGGGGCATCTGAGAGCGAGCGATGCAGTGGCCGTCTTTGTCCGATAGTTATCAAGAAGCCGCTGCTTGCGAGGATGACCGGAGTTTGCATGATTGCGTGGTGGCGGTGGAGGTGCACATTCTGACCGTCGTGGCCTCTAAGGATCCTCCGAGACGTGTCGTCAGGAAGTTGGTCACCCTGTTGGCGATGCCGCCGCTCACGACGACCTCATTGAGCATGTGGAACTTGAGGATGTTCTCCAGGAGGTCTGGGTCAGCTGCGATCGGGGAGGAAAGTGGACAATGAGGCGTTCATTTATTAATTTGGTGCAATTGTGAACAATAGCCGTATCACACATTAGTACATCTAATCGGCAGAATCATTGGTTCAAGGCGTGCGGTGAAGTTAGGAGATGTCCATGTGTGTACTCGACATTTGAAGGACTTGAAGACCAGGATCGGTGATATCGCCGATAATGTGTTTAGGGGAGGCAGTTTCATATCCGGAATGCACAGTGAAGTGACGGACGGTTGGAGCATCCGTCACTTCTGCCAGTGATGATGTGAGCCAAGGGGGGGGGGGGGGGCACAGGATAAGGCTGGTCATTTCGCACACTCCCTGGGGAGCAAGTTCAAGTTTGTGCTTATATCAAAGTGTGCTTCTATCAGAAGTTGCTCTTTTTCTTTCCCCTACCAGAGCAATGGCAAGGATGTGTCGCTTGTGTTGGAACGGTGCTCCTATGATGTTTGTGTAGATCCAGCTTTGCAATGGATTTGGGTTTTTTTTTGGGTGATGCCCAGCTGCAAGCTCTGCAAATGGGAGAAACTGTGGGCAATTCTCCTGCTGCGTCTCTCAGGACAATTTAATAAGCGGCAGGGGAACTCGCTGATGCATTGAGTCGTGCGCTAAACACAGAGAACACACGGAGCGATATGGCTGTATATTGAGGCAATTTGCGGGAGCAACCCTTGCTAAGCGGTTGTATGTTTTAGTTACGACTTTAACAATGGCAGTTTTCATGAAGCATCGTTTCAAGAAACGAAACAAATATATTTATATTTTAACGATTGCAACTTGTTAACCCCAACTGTGACACACACCAACATTTAATCTAACCAATCAGCCTGTGGAAACAATTGCATTTGATGTTTCCGAGCATGAATGAGGCTTGCTCTGTACTCTTGGCCACCTTTAAAACAGCCAGTACCGAGACCACACATGAAGCTTGTGGCCTCCCTTCAGAATGTACATTGGAAAATAATCGCCTCCATAATCAGACCTAACACAAGACAGAGAATGTAGTCATATACTTGGCAATTGGGGGTTCGGTAGTATTGATAATTTAGGATTAAAAACAAAATTGTTTTGATCTGTTTTTAGCAAAGTGAGGTTTTTTTGGTCGACAGCCCAGAATTCTCATCGGCCATACGTAGCTTGTGGTGTTGGTTTTCATTCTGCAATATGAACCACAATGTGTATGCCTTTGCAAGCCAGAACACTTATTTACGAATCCCTCTTGCCAAGGAACAGCTGTAGGGGGAAAACAAGGCAATTGATTTTAACCATTACAAGCCTCTCAATGGTCTTGAGAAAAAAAACTCCAAACATGTAGCCAACTCCCATCCCGTTTTCCTGGACATCTCTGTAACGGAAAGTTATCATAGCAAGAGTTTGCAAGTGCCATGGCTTTACATTACAGCAAACAACTTCTTATGACTTATGCAGAGGAGTGTGTACCCGGTTAATGAAGGCTGATTACTGTACTAGCAGAGCCCGATTTAATTGACGGGGGCTGTTGTGGTTTTAAGGAGCCCCTCTGTAAATTCAATCCTCTTCTTTACTCATTCACCACCACAATGCTGTTATTTTCCTTGGTTATTTCAGCTCTGTATTTACGAAAAGTAAAACTATATAAAATTTACAATGAAGAAAGCTATTTTTATTTCTGCTCATAACTGGTAGTATTACACAAAGTGATGCTGTGGCTTTCATTAAAAAAATACACCACTGTGGGATTTATCATGCGCCACCGTAGAATTCGTTTCAACCACCCTGGGCTGTGGCCCCGGAAGCCGCTGCGTTAATCCAGCCCTGCCCACAAGTGAGGTGCGCGGGGCTGCCTTACCCTTCAGCGCGTTGATCTCGAGCTCGGTCATCGATGCGAACGCTTCGTTCGTCGGGGCGAAGATCGTGAAAGTCCCCGATCGGGAAAGCTGCTGTTTCAGGCCGGCCGCCTTTATGAGCTCCACCAAAATGCTGCACCCACCAAACATCGTTGTTGTACTCATTTTAATTATTGTACACATTACTCTTTAGATCTTTCGGTAAAGTCACGCAGTTAGAAATAAAATAAAACAAATCACGACGTTTCGATTGCAACACAAGCAATCTTCATCAGGTGGGACAACCACAGCAAGAAAAAATTACTGAAGTGGGCGAGAGAGCTGCCGTGGCAAGAGGTTATATTTATTTTATTTCTAACTACGTGACTTTACCGAAAGAACCAAAGAGTATGGATTCCTGCAGTCACGAAAGCTTCAAATCAAGATTATTGTACACATTCTCCAGTTTCTCCGTGCAAGGGCAGGTCCGTGGCTCCAGCTCTCTCCGTCCGACCCCAATCGAGCTCCCTGCTGCTCAACTTGCAGTACTCAGAACGAGGATTCCTTGTGCCGTAACTAGGGAAGGATAGTTGCAGGGATTTCCCCTTGACGACACCATCACCGGAAGCAGCTACATGTGACCGTGCACTAAGAATCTCTTTGAAGAGATAGCTGGGTAGCGCAGAGGTCTAATATTATTTAACCCTTTCACGTTCCGACGACGTGCGTGTACGTCATCAAGAAAAACTAAAATGAAAACTAGAATAAAATAACTTTATTGATAAATCTTCAGGCCGAAGACCAACTCTGACTCATGACAATGTATTGAATGACGACGGGTGGGGTGTAATTGTTATGGGACTGCTATGATGGAGTGATGGACCACGATTTCAAAGACTTTCAGTTGCAAACTTTGAAACTCATGTCGGAGAGCCCTGAGACATAGCCCAAGTAGAATGAGAATAAAATAATAAGAACCAAAGAAGATGATTCCCTGCAGTCACGAAAGCTTTAAATCGCAATATAGCCCAAGTAGTTTTCTACACGATATGAGACATTTGTTTCATTGGGTTTCGCATTAATTTATCGTACCGGTGGGGAACCTTTTCCTCAATGGGGGCTGAAAAGGACTTTCAAATACCTTTGGCGGGGCTACGCATTACCATTAACACACACTTTAGCGTTATGCAATAACAATGCACAAAGTAACATGTCTGTCGACTAAGAAACAGGGTTTCTAGGTTGAAAATATTCACGTCCAGTACCCAATCAGTGCCGCTAAAATCTTTTCAGTGACAAATACATATCGTTTGCGGAGAGGGTCGCCTCCTGCCCTGATTTCCCCAGCATCGTCCTCTTTTTGAGGTAGCCGTCCTGGGAAATCTATAAATGGTTTCATCGTTTGCGTAACGTTGCACCACTTGAGACAACGGCTTTATATGTAGTTCGTCCCATTGACTTTATTGTGAGGTGTTCTTGTTCCCATCAAACGTCCCCGGGTCTCGTGAACCTCACCGGAGCAAGAAACCCTATGTGCGGTCCATCTGAAGTGGTCGCCCCCACGTGGGAGCGGGCCACGTGAAATGCAATGATGGGCCGTAGAGGTGTGACGTGTAAAGTCGAGGGGCCAGGTACGGCCCTCCCGACAGACCGACCGACCCTCGGCTCCCCTCCCCGCAATCCCTGATTCCGCTTCGTGGCTCTTTTGCGCTCTGCGACCTGAAGTGCTGGCTGCTCTCCAGGCTGTCCATGATGCTCTTGCTCGGCGTGCGCAGGACATTTCTGATGACGAGCACGGCCCCGCGCCGCCCGGTGCGCTCCTGCGACTCCAGGCACGCGTTCTCAATGCAGATCGCCTGGGGAGAGATGGCGGCGGGCGGGAGGGGCGGTGGGGGGGGGTGTCCAGGTCAAAGCCGGGGCCCACACCCGAGCGAGCGATCGGTCGGTCGCGCAATTTGGTCGCGTGCAACCGAATCGCTTGCACGCGTGGACGTCTCTGCTGCTGGTTGGTGACAGCGGAGACAGACTCTGCTTTCAACCGTCGATCCGCTCGGCAATTTGCGTGTCACCGCGTGGCGTGCACATTTTGCGAGCTGTCGTTACAATCCTGAATACGTCGCTGTGGAACTGCTCGATCGGATGTAGGGGAGACAGGGCAGTTGCAGGAGCACCGCTTAAGCCGCGTGATTTTGAGCACCGTTCGACTGCGCGGCTGATCGCTCCGGCGTGGAGCCGGCTTGGTCGCGGGCTCTTCAGGAGCCGCAGGATGGGGCCACCGGATTTCGAGGGCCCCATCCTTCGCCAAAATGGATGTGCGAATAAACTGCTTTAAAAATGTTTTTTCAAAACAATGGCTTAATTTCTGCTGGAGCTGTCTGGGACTGAGCTGTTGGGAGAGGGGGAAGGGAGAGGGAGGGGTTGGGGTGTCCCCGAAAATGTAAGCCCTGGTCAAAACGTAGTGCCGTGGCACTGTGATAAATCCTAAAGGTAATTTGATCATGAAAGTCATAGCATCGCTAAGTGTATTATTACCAGTATAGGAACAGGTTTTTACCCTTTTATCTGGCACAACAACTGATACCTTTATACAAGGAATAATATTTGATAAAAGGGTAAAAACCTATTACTATGTCTTGTTACTGGCAAAGGAGGTCTCATAATGTATTATTACCAGTTAAGTGCCGATATGAAAAAAACACGTATTGTTTGTTTAACATTTTAATACATTTTTCAATTCGAATAACCCATTAAAAATAACAGAGGTGAATAACAGTGCAGTGTTTGGCACAGGGTGAGGGTGGTGGTTAAAAGAGTGAAGGGAAGGCATCGAATATACGAAGAGGAGCACCAAAAAATTAAATAGCCCCGGACCCCCATCAAACTTAATCCAGCCCTGCGTGGGGGTTGTGAGCTCGCTGCATGCGGAGGCTGGAGCTACAGACCCAGCATCTGTTCGGCACAGAACAATGTCTGGAAAAGTTCCAGTTTGGTGGAGGAAGTCAGACAACTCGAGTGTTGGTTTAATTATTTTTTTCTGTAAAACAGCGTAGTTCTGAGACAGGCTCTATTTTTCAGATAATTTATTTGAGGATTTGTTTTCTCTTTTATGAATTGACCCACTGAGGCACATACATCTCAGTTGCAAATGCCTGCAGGGAAGATTATTTTACATTTATGAGGATTGCCCGTCGACGGGAAGTTAATCTCCTGTTGGGATTATAGCAAAGACGTTAAGAGTTAACGCACTGGCTCTTGACGCGAGAACGAACGTGTACTGTTTAGTGTTCCCGTGGACAGTACCTCAACACAATGGACGCCACTCCTACAGCACAGCGCTGATTAGACTATTCAACACAATGTGCGTCTATAAAGCGTCTAAATGCAAACGTGCGTCAAGGTGATGTACATAACAGTGGGCGTATTCGTATTACAGTCAGGAAGAGGCAGTGAGTCACAGGGGACACAAAAAAGTCTCCGACTTGCACACGCACAGGAAAGTTGACAGCAGGGATGGCTGGGGAAAGGGAATTCCAGACCATGGAAAGCAAATCGCGCAAATCTGCTACTTGAGATTACAGTGCGTCTTAAAGAGGTACCAACACAGAACTAATAACAGATTGTCCGCATATATTTTTTTCTCATGGAATTATATATTTTATAATTGAGTAGAAAAGACACTGAGTGAAAACACAAACACTTGATATTAATATAAACTAAATTGAGCTTTTACCATCAGATAAACGTGTATGTATGACTCACTGACACACACTGATCAGCTGGGTTAGAAAACGTAACTGACTAGAGATAACCGGTCAGTATACTTAAGTATTTTTTTTCAACTTGAAACTATGGATGCATAACAGCAATGCTGGTAGTTGAAGGTACATTTGGAGAGGTCATCGTGGCCAATGCTCTTGATGCCGCTGCCAATTTATTCCCTCTGCCAGAATCCACACGTGCTACGCAGTCGGCACCCGACCTCCCGCAAGCGATGCTCTCAAAGTGTCCCACGATCTGGCTACGGGCCACCCCCTCCGTTACTGACCTCTGGGTAATACTTCAGTGCCTGGTCTCAGTAATCTGCCTTCCTCTGCTCTGCCAATGTGCCCCGTCCATCGGACCCACCCATCGCAACCTCCCCTTCCAGTCGACACCGTCATTCAGAGCTGGGATAATTAGCCGAATGCGTCGATTGATCTACTCCAAATTTTACTCGAACCATTTTTTTGCATTAAATTACTCGAACCCGCCCCTACACCCTTCTTCTGAAGGCAGGAAACCCCCTATAAGCCACGCCCAGTGTGACACGCCTGATCATTTTTCCAGTTGTGATTTTAGTTTTCGGCTTAGTCCAGCAATCAAACTTATAATCGATCGAGTACAGTAACCGATCACGTAAATAATCGAAATAGCCCAGCTCTAATCTCCATTGCTGTCTTGCTACATTCTAAGTCCAATCTTGCAAGTACCAAACACGAAACCAGCATAGAAGATTTGCCCTCCGCCTTAATGTCCTGTACGTTGAACCCTAAGACATGCAGCTCATGAAGTATGGGTTAATGTGGTGGCCTCCCTACCACGTGCTCGCCCACTTACGGTCGGGTAGACGAACACGCGCAGTTTCCGCCCACCCAGGGTGTCCAGCGTCTGCCCACCGTACAGCTGGTAGAGTGAGTGCTGGTTCTTGATGACGTGGTTGAGCAGAATGTCGCGGGTGTTCGTGGACATCTCCTGCATGGTGTTGTCTGTGGGCAAAACCGTTTCAAAAGGGGGGGGAAGGTCGTCGTGTCGCGACCAATAAGAGCTGCAAGCGTCGTCCACTGTGTGGTTGCTCTCATGGCCGTTAATAAGTCTAGACGGTAAAGGTGCAGCCCTGAGATATAGAGGTAACTCCCCTACTGCAGTGTTCTTCATTGCAAGGCCTGCGGGCCACTGACAGGCTCTGGTGGCCTTTAGTGCGGCCCCCGACAATGCACAAGTGTGAAACAATCCCACATCATCGTCGTGCTGTTAAACCACGGTGGTTTCAAATGTGTGGGGGCCCTCGCACTGATGATGTCTTGTGGGTGAAAGTGGCCCCGCACTGAAAATGTGTGAAGAACACTTCTCTAGAGGGTATTTAGCATACCCTTCCATGCTGGCCAGAAGTTTTAGAACAGGTCATTACCCCCATCACATGCGACAGACTAGCTGTGGTGCACTCATACTGCTGGGTAGACAGAGGTAAGGGGGTGAATTTAAGATTCTTGTACCATTGTTTCGAGTACTGCACTGGGAGATTGAACCTGTGACATCTGGATTTAAAGACCAGTGCACTAACTGTCACACCATGGCAGCATCGCGCATCACCTTAAAAATAATGATAAATATGCCAGCAAATAAACTGAGAGAAATAATAGCAACAGGCCAGTCCTTATGTAATTACCATGTGTCCCTTACAACAGGGGTGTGTGTTCTGTTTAAATGACTGATCAGATGATTATTATAAATTTAATTCTTTAATTATTGTTTATAAATGAGCTAATTTTACATCCACTCAGTTTATTTTGCCAAAACATTTCAGGTGAAGCAGTCTCGTTAAAGCTGCTTGTTTTATTTTGTGCAATAGAGACTAATCAGTCATTCAATGGGGTTACGGAACGCAGTGAGCGAGGCCATGTGGAACTCTCTCCCACTGCACAAACACAGCCTCGAAGCAGTAGCCACCTGGAAGTAGCAGCTCAAGGCTCAATTATTCAGGCTGCCATCTGTCTAGGCCCTTACCCGTTCAGGCTCACACCTGGTTCAGGCCCTCACCTGTTCAGGCTTTCAGCTGTTCAGAATCTCGCCTGTCTAGGCCCTTATTCATTCAGGCTCACACCTGGTTCAGGCCCTTACCCGTCCAGGCCCTCACCTGTCCAGGCCCTCACTTGTTCAGTCTCTCACCTGGTTCAGGCTTTCAGCTGTTCAGAATCTTGCCTGTCTAGGCCCTTACCCGTTCACACTCACACCTGGTTCAGGCCCTCACCTGTCCAGGCCCTCACCTGTTCTGTTTCTCACCTAGTTCACGCTCAGGCCCCCACTCATACAGGCTCTCACTCATTCAGACTCTAACATATTCAGCTGGCTTACGAGGGACTTTGAGCTCTGGCTCAATACTCAATCGAACATTGCGTCCAATTCCTGAAATATTGGCATGTAAAACAGTGCATTTATGATTATTATTGTTCTTAGTAGGGGAGGATGCAGTTGAAGGCCCTGTTTACCGGTGAAGGCCTCGTTGTTGGGCGCGAGGAGCGTGTAGGCCACATTGGGCCTCAGGGAAGCCTGGAGACCCTCTTCAGAAAACATGTTGGAGAACTTGGATAGATCCTCGGTCTGTGTGAGCTCTATGGCGGTCTTGGCTGAAAGAGTAATCGCACAAACTTGATTGTAAACACATTTTACTCGTACGTCGTACTGCGTGTGCATTATCGTCATCCTCGGGGGACAAAACAAAAGCACGTTGAAAAATAAAGTCCCGCATGCTTTGCAAAAACAGCCTGTGTAGGCGTTTATCCCCCCGGTATTATTTCAGTCTGTGCTACGTATTATCAAGCGCAGTTTTAGAAAGATTTTGAAAAGTGCAGAAAACTTCTGGAATTGATTTGGAAGTTGAAAGATAAACAATTTAGCAAGAGGCGGAAAAAAACGTTAAGAAATTAGATTTGAAACTGTTTAGTCTTAAGTCACTATTTATACACTAATTATAGGGTGCGTATATAGGAGACTGATTTGGCAGCGTTTTACTCTGAGGCAATTTTGTGTGGGAATTGACAGTTCACTCTCTTAACCCGCCCAGGGTAATTTCTCCAAGAAATTACCAAAAGTTTACCAATTTTTGGAAATTGAAAGTTAAATATCCTTCGCTATACTCTCCAAATGAATTACAAACCATATCTCCTGTGTGCGACCTGGGGTTACGAACTCCAAACCATGTACTGTATAACTTTGCGCTGCCCAAAATAGATATTTGAAGGTGGCATTTATCCGCAGTTCACCAACTGTCAAGACAAAACAATGGCTTTGTGACCGACAAATTAATTACTGTGCGTTTGCTCTACACAACGCCATTCCAATCAAGAAGCTTACAAGCCAAAACTTTTCCAAAAGTGTTCCTATGGAGAGCACAGGTTGCACATTTCTCCCAACCAAACCGAAGCACGTGAGGGACAAGCCGAACACAAACATCGGAGTGCTCCACAGCACCATGGCGAATACCTACGCGGTAGAAATGCACCCACCGAGTAGCAATTAATCACTCTCGTCTGTCACTCGAGGAGGTTTTCGCTTTGACAGCTTTTCATTCGCTCGTTGCGAAGAAAGTTAGAGAGGGGGGGGGGCACTAGATCCAGTGGTGCATCTATACATGGGTGACCCTGTGTATGTGTATATTTATACAGTATGTGGTGGTTACTTATGACCACAGCCTTTGCTTTCAGAAACGGGCGCAGCTTAAAGTGCAGTTCAAGTGGAGCTCATGGGGATGTGGCTAGGGCTGCCACACGTCCTGTTTTTCCCAGGCTTTGTCCCCTCGTTTAAAAAGAATATTATACCTCCAATTTGCTACCCGACTGTACATACATGGCCTTTCGACCACAACCTTTGCTTTTCGTAGCTGCAGTGACTAATTTTGGCTGGAACAGTCCGGAACACTTGCATAAATAACAATTTTGGCGCACAATATTTATCTCATCTTACTTTGTCCTCATTCATTTTACAAACCTCATCGTAGGCTTATAGGGATATTGGGTACAATAATAATTGTTATGGATAGGTGTAACTTGTACTCTGGTGGTAGCGCCTTAAGCTAATAATCCCGACATCTCGAAGGCAACCTATCAGCTTTCCGGAATATATGGAGGGAGAAACGAACCCCTGAGTTATGGGTGCCGCTTTGAAGTAAAGTTGAATCAGAATCTTTATTTAAACTCGAAGAATCCGATGTGGTGGGTCCGATCGTTACAACAACAAACAATACAAAAACACCAAAGGAATGCAACGTGTAGGAAAGGAAAACAAATCACTTTAAAAAATAAACAAATAAAACGAAACATGTTTTTTTTTTATCTTCCCAGGTAAAGCCCACTGAGGTGTTCACTTTATTTTCAGAAGCCACGTGGCCACAAATAGATATCTCACCAAAGTGGAAATTTAGAGCAACCAAACACTCTAAACGGGTGACGTCGATTCTAAATGTGGAGATGGGAAAAAACCGGAGGTCCCCGAGAAAATCCACGCGACCACGGGGGAGAAAGAAAGAGAGAGACACTTAAACTCCATAGATGGCGGCAAAACGAATCCTAATGATGTGAGTCGAAGCGAAAGTTCGCGGGATTCGGCGTCCGTCTCACCCAAGTCGGGGATGAAGACCTCGCTGACCTTGTGCACCACACCGTTGGTGGCCACAATGTCCCTCTGCTCGATCACCGCCTCCGCGTTGATGGTCAAGCGGTCCCCGTCGCAGCCGATGACCAGCGAGGAGCCCTCGACCGTGTCCACGCTGGAGCCGCTCAGGATGGCCTCGGAGCAGTGCACCGTGCGGATGATGTGGTGCGTGACGAGCGCTGCCGGGAGGGAGGGGTCAGAGGGCGGGCGGGTGGTGATGGCGGGGTGAGTAGTGAACGTGAGGTCACATTAGCTGTGGGTTTGTTTCGCTTTATGTTTCGGGCCTCCCGATCAACAGGAAGGCGATGTATCGATTAACTATCACTTGGTTCTAATTGAAAGCCATTGATTGAGTTTTTTTTTTTTAAATCGACATTCATTAATGCTCACCGACATTCGTCAACATTAGTCAACATTGTCTTCGGTGGAACACAAGTTATGAATGAAAATGTTTGCGACATCAAAATTAGTTACGTCTTCCCATCTCAACCGCAATTCCCTTTCGAAGCCCCCTCCCGATCAACCTCTGCTCAGTGAGTTAATTCACTCTCCTCTGTTGTATCCCCCACAGCCTGGGGATTCTCTTCCCTCAGCCACCCATGCTATCGATTCCCCTAGCCCCCCTTAAAATTCCAGATCAAGATCTTCCTATTTTCCTCAGTTCCCGATCGGCCGTCTCCTTCTACAAAATCACTTAGTGCGCACATTTTCTCAAAATCCTTTTGACATGGGGTCACATTTAGATAAGATATTAATAAAAATGACATTGTATTACATTTACAAGCACACACGAGGTGTTTTATTTGTATGGACTGATTTTACCGTTTCTGAATTTACCCTGGAAATCGCTGTAAAATTCTTAATATTCATTCCAGGAGAGTTTTGTTTGAGTTGTTTGGCCAGTAACTTTTTTTGGAATATTATTACAAGTGGGAGGAAATCAGAGTTTGTCTATCGCGCCTAGGGAAACTTCCCACAAAGTGGTACTCATGTTTTTATCAGTCCCAGAGTCATGGGATTTGAATTTGATTATCGGCATTCTGGCTGTAGTTGCTGTTTTTGAAAGTGCATTTAAAAAAAGATTAAGCATCTGAGCTCCATTATAGATCTTATCTCATTCTCGGCACACTGGCTTGAAAATGGTTATTGGTACGGCCTCAGGTGACAAATGCTAACAATTATATTCTTTAGGAATTCTATCACGAGATCATCCATTTGTATGATAGCAAATTCAGTCGGAGCCGATAATGAAAACGCGTCTTAAATTGGGCACTGGTAATTGAAGCTTTCGTGACTGCATGAATTACTCTTTGGTTCTTTCGGTAAAGTCACGTAGAAATGGAAATATTTATTTAATTTTGAATAAAAATTATTTAATTTATTTTCTTTCTACAGGACTTTACCGAAAGAACCAAAGAGTGGGCACTGGTAGTATGTTTAATAAGAGAATATAATTTTAGAAAGTGGTGTAAATCATAATCCATGGCGAGATACGGCCCATGGTGGTTACTTTACCATTTTACACCCCAGGTGGTACCGATAAACCTTCTTGGGTCATAGCCTATTCATTGGGAATAATCAAGAGTCGTTCATCATTTTATCTCAATAACACAGAGAAAGCAGTCTGCCACGTAAGATACGCTGCATGGCTATTTATATATATAAAAAAACTGGAGTTAATGTGAGCTGCAAGAAATTACGTAACACAATAATAATGCAGATTGTGTTCCGATTTTGAATTTATTTGGCGGCATGAAATGTGGTATTCCGATCCCTGTGTGGCTCAAAACATGTGAACCGATAAAATATTTCAACCTCTGGTAGGAGGAAACGTTTTAAGCAGTCATGAAGAAAACCACAGACTTCCAGCTATTATAACAAAATTTGGCACGACTTAACAACTGTGGCATTTGCCTGCAAACAATGTGGGATATCAGGAAAGTAACAGCGGTGAATTGCGTCTGTTCTTGTTTGTATGGGGGTTTGTTATCTGGGTTCTCCGTTGTCTGCTAATGGCCTGCGAATAAGCCCAGAGCACGTGTTAAGCTACCCAAAATGCATCGCGAAGTTTCCCCTCGGGAGTGTTTAGGCAGCTCCTGACTGCAGGCAAGCGGCACAGATGTTGATGGAAGAATGAACCGCTTTTAAATTCTACCGAAGTTTACTCTACATTAAAACACACAGACAGTGCAGTGCAAAGTAAAAAAAAACTGGCCTTGAAATATTTAACAAAATGCTTAAGTTTTAATAGCAAGAATACATTTCAAATGTCATAACAATACAAGCTGGGCCAAAACTTTCAATTTTTCAAATGTCATCTGCACATGAACTGTAATTTTACATTGTGATCTGTAGCCAAGTATGGGTATCCTGTAAATAAAACCATATTCAGCAACGGCAGTCACCACAATTTTAAAAAAATAAATATGAACTCGAAACGGTCATTATGCTCTTTAGATGTGGTTAAGTGTACTTAAAAACAAACCTTTAACATGGTTTTCCTGGTTCATAAAGACATTTTTAACGTATTTGTTTTCATTTTCAGAGGGTAATTGTGCAGATTTCTCAATTCCCTTGCCTTATCTAGTCAGCCTTCTATATCTTGCACATTTTAAAGTGCAGTTTACCTCCCTTACTTAGCTATGTTTGAATTTGTATAAGATTATTGTTAAATATCGTCTAAATTTGTGAAATTTAAAGTGTATTTAGATATTGTTGCATTATACAGAATTCCCTTATATGAGGCAATGCATTTTGTGCCTCAGCAGGCATGAATTTTATCTCCTGGTGAGATACAGGATAGCACTGACTAAAAGATAATTGATTGCCATTTATTCGTAGTCACAAACTTCGTGATAACATAGGTTATACGAGTTGCACGTTTATAAATTTACGTACACCCATGATGCCTGGTATAGTACACGTTTTACATTTTTACCAATTATGTACGTACACAGTGAAACAATAATACTGGTAGGAACCTCCTGGTTCCACCAGCCCACAGGGGATTATTATGTCCGTCCGTCCGTCGTGCATCCAGAAATGGGAGGGGTGGGGCTGGGTGGAAAGGGGAGGGTGGGGAGGGGCTGGGTAGGGAGATGGAGGGTGGGGAGGGGCTAGGTAGGGATGGGCTGGTCACCCCGTGGTGCCCTTATAAAACTCAACGTTTAACCTACTCACGCCAGCTTGTACCCACCCTCACAGTCGGGCATATTTGCGGAATACACCACGTGCCGCCGTTGACCCTGGCCATTGGCCGAGCAACCCAACGTTCCTACCAGCTCCTCCCTCCGCAGGAATGTGTTTTTCAATTGCACAATTTATTTTTCCAATTATTTACTTACAAGCGAGTGGCTCAAACCTTGTGTGGACTGCCATCAACTGGCTCCTACAGCCGATCGAATGGAAATAATTGGTCAACATTAGGGTTGCCACTCGTACACAGAGTAATTCAAATGTAAAATCTTGACTTTCGTGACTGTAGGAGTTCATATTCTTTGGGTCTTTCGGTAAAGTCACGTAGAACAAAAAAACGAACAAAAAACTACGACGTTTCGATCGCAACACAAGCAATCGTCATCAGGGTGAAAGAAGGAGAAAAGGGGGGAGGGGCGGTGGAGGAGGGAAGGGGGGGGGGTCCTTTTTTCTTGGCTTGTGTTGCGATTGAAACGTCATAATTTGTTGTTAGTTTTTTTGTTCTATCTGACTTTACCGAAAGACCCAAAGAATATAAGTAATATGTACATTACAAATTTCAGAAGGGTCTCTTAAACACCCAATTTTAACTATTTAAATGACTTGTCTGATTCGAAACCATCGTCCCAGGATATACGACTTTGGGGTGCTACAGCTGTTATGCGTGATCTTTGTCCGTATGTGATTTAATTTCGAGGTTTTCGTCTTCTGTTTCAGCGTGTGGCTGGATGAACAACAACTCCCGAGTTTAGGTCCAATGATGGCAACCGTCGTGGCTTCTTGGAATGCGCAGAATAAACAGTAATATGCACGCATGTTTGTTGAACTTCTTTCGCGCCGTACGTAGCCAACCGTGCTACATGATGATAACAGAGGGACGGGTGGTTTGTGGTCGGGTATAGAGACTGGAGTTGTACGTACGTATGTTAGAACTTCCTTCGCAGCGTAGCGGTCCCCAACCTTTTTGGCACCAGGGACAGGTTTCGTGGAAAACAATTTTTTCACGGACTGGGGGAGGGGTTCATCATTGGGTCTTTCCCCCTTTTCAAAGAATCTCTCCAGCGAAGTTTGTTGTTTACTCATCGTGGCTACTAGGGGTTAGAGCTTGTGGGCTTACTCATTGTGGCTACTAGGGGTTAGAGCTTGTGGGCTTACTCATTGTGGCTACTAGGGTTAGAGCTTGTGGGCTTACTCATTGTGGCTACTAGGGGTTAGAGCTTGTGGGCTTACTCATTGTGGCTACTAGGGGTTAGAGCTTGTGGGCTTACTCATTGTGGCTACTAGGGGTTAGAGCTTGTGGGCTTACTCATTGTGGCTACTAGGGGTTAGAGCTTGTGGGCTTACTCATTGTGGCTACTAGGGGTTAGAGCTTGTGGGCTTACTCATTGTGGCTACTAGGGGTTAGAGCTTGTGGGCTTACTCATTGTGGCTACTAGGGGTTAGAGCTTGTGGGCTTACTCATTGTGACTACTAGGGTTAGAGCTTGTGGGCTTACTCATTGTGGCTACTAGGGGTTAGAGCTTGTGGGCTTACTCATTGTGGCTACTAGGGTTAGAGCTTGTGGGCTTACTCATTGTGGCTACTAGGGGTTAGAGCTTGTGGGCTTACTCATTGTGGCTACTAGGGGTTAGAGCTTGTGGGCTTACTCATTGTGGCTACTAGGGGTTAGAGCTTGTGGGCTTACTCATTGTGGCTACTAGGGGTTAGAGCTTGTGGGCTTACTCATTGTGGCTACTAGGGGTTAGAGCTTGTGGGCTTACTCATTGTGGCTACTAGGGGTTAGAGCTTGTGGGCTTACTCATTGTGGCTACTAGGGGTTAGAGCTTGTGGGCTTACTCATTGTGGCTACTAGGGGTTAGAGCTTGTGGGCTTACTCATCGTGGCTACTAGGGGTTAGAGCTTGTGGGCTTACTCATTGTGGCTACTAGGGGTTAGAGCTTGTGGGCTTACTCATTGTGGCTACTAGGGGTTAGAGCTTGTGGGCTTACTCATTGTGGCTACTAGGGGTTAGAGCTTGTGGGCTTACTCATCGTGGCTACTAGGGGTTAGAGCTTGTGGGCTTACTCATTGTGGCTACTAGGGGTTAGAGCTTGTGGGCTTACTCATTGTGGCTACTAGGGGTTAGAGCTTGTGGGCTTACTCATTGTGGCTACTAGGGGTTAGAGCTTGTGGGCTTACTCATCGTGGCTACTAGGGGTTAGAGCTTGTGGGCTTACTCATTGTGGCTACTAGGGGTTAGAGCTTGTGGGCTTACTCATTGTGGCTACTAGGGGTTAGAGCTTGTGGGCTTACTCATTGTGGCTACTAGGGGTTAGAGCTTGTGGGCTTACTCATCGTGGCTACTAGGGGTTAGAGCTTGTGGGCTTACTCATTGTGGCTACTAGGGTTAGAGCTTGTGGGCTTACTCATTGTGGCTACTAGGGGTTAGAGCTTGTGGGCTTACTCATTGTGGCTACTAGGGTTAGAGCTTGTGGGCTTACTCATTGTGGCTACTAGGGTTAGAGCTCGTGGGCTTACTCATTGTGGCTACTAGGGTTAGAGCTTGTGGGCTTACTCATTGTGGCTACTAGGGTTAGAGCTTGTGGGCTTACTCATTGTGGCTACTAGGGTTAGAGCTTGTGGGCTTACTCATTGTGGCTACTAGGGTTAGAGCTTGTGGGCTTACTCATTGTGGCTACTAGGGTTAGAGCTTGTGGGCTTACTCATTGTGGCTACTAGGGGTTAGAGCTTGTGGGCTTACTCATTGTGGCTACTAGGGTTAGAGCTTGTGGGCTTACTCATTGTGGCTACTAGGGGTTAGAGCTTGTGGGTTTACTCATTGTGACTACTAGGGGTTAGAGCTCGTGGGCTTACTCATTGTGGCTACTAGGGGTTAGAGCTTGTGGGCTTACTCATTGTGGCTACTAGGGGTTAGAGCTTGTGGGCTTACTCATTGTGGCTACTAGGGGTTAGAGCTTGTGGGTTTACTCATTGTGGCTACTAGGGGTTAGAGCTTGTGGGCTTACTCATTGTGGCTACTAGGGGTTAGAGCTTGTGGGCTTACTCATTGTGGCTACTAGGGGTTAGAGCTTGTGGCCTTACTCATCGTGGCTACTAGGGGTTAGAGCTTGTGGCCTTACTCATTGTGGCTACTAGGGGTTAGAGCTTGTGGGCTTACTCATTGTGGCTACTAGGGGTTAGAGCTTGTGGGCTTACTCATTGTGGCTACTAGGGGGTTAGAGCTTGTGGCCTTACTCATCGTGGCTACTAGGGTTAGAACTTGTGGCCTTACTCATCGTGGCTACTAGGGGTTGGAGCTTGTGGGCTTACTCATTGTGGCTACTAGGGGATTAGAGCTTGTGGCCTTACTCATTGTGGCTACTAGGGGTTAGAGCTTGTGGGCTTACTCATTGTGGCTACTAGGGGTTAGAGCTTGTGGGCTTACTCATTGTGGCTACTAGGGGTTAGAGCTTGTGGGCTTACTCATTGTGGCTACTAGGGGTTAGAGCTTGTGGGTTTACTCATTGTGGCTACTAGGGGTTAGAGCTTGTGGGCTTACTCATTGTGGCTACTAGGGGTTAGAGCTTGTGGGCTTACTCATTGTGGCTACTAGGGGTTAGAGCTTGTGGCCTTACTCATCGTGGCTACTAGGGGTTAGAGCTTGTGGCCTTACTCATTGTGGCTACTAGGGGTTAGAGCTTGTGGGCTTACTCATTGTGGCTACTAGGGGTTAGAGCTTGTGGGCTTACTCATTGTGGCTACTAGGGGGTTAGAGCTTGTGGCCTTACTCATCGTGGCTACTAGGGTTAGAACTTGTGGCCTTACTCATCGTGGCTACTAGGGGTTAGAGCTTGTGGGCTTACTCATTGTGGCTACTAGGGGTTAGAGCTTGTGGGCTTTATACTCAAATTGTGACTGAGACAAGTGCGCAGCGCGGGAAAGAGGCGCGGACGGAAGTGGTAAATAATAAAATAATGCGGCGCGGGCCACGTGCGGGCTCACCGCTCTCACCTCCTGCTGATGTGCGGCCCGGTTCCTAACAGGCCACGGACCGGTAGCGGTCCGTGGCCCGGGGGTTGGGGACCCCTCGTGTACGGTAACGAACTGGGTGGAGGCTAAAAGATGCCGACGTGAAGGGGCAACTCCGGTGGAACCTGTTGCACCTTGTCCACCTTCTTGGCCACTGCAGCTTGGCGGGACATTTTTAGCGTGGGTGGGGGGAGTGCTGTATGGGTTTTGGAGACTGTAGTGGAATACATTCTCCTAGTACGGCCTTACCTTTGAGGGAGGTTGGATCCTTCAGGATGCGCTCCATAACGTCCACAGGAACCTTCTCAAATGCCGCGTTGGTTGGAGCTAATAGAGTGATGGGGCCTTCCTTGGTCACCATGTCCATCAGCCCAGCCTTCTGGATCGCCAACTGCACGCGTTCCAATCAACAAAGGGCCTCTTTAATCATGCCATTTAAATGTTGATATTATTTAAATTATATTCTTGGATTTTTGTTTGAAACGGTTGTAATAATCCACTGCATATTAATGTATTTTGTTATTGTAATAATCTGTATTCTATTTAATTTCCATGAACCATTTGATTTCAGTTGTTTTTCGTTGTTTGCAGTCTCAAACCTGTTTGCAAGAATCATCTATTTATTCTTTACCCAACTTCTGGTCTCATTTGGCGATTGAAAAGAATAAAATAAATTACAACCGTATGTAAATCTACTGCTGGATGAAGGCCTCCCCACGCCGTGTCGATCATGTGGATTGTTTAACCATACTTCACCACACTGGCCAGTGTGGACCGGTTCAGACGGCACTGGCCAGGATGAGTCATCAAACTCAGGTTACCAGATTAACAGCACAGTGCGCTATTTTGCCACTGATTCACTCCCATTAAAAACAAAACAATAGGATCTCTTAAATCGATATCTGATTTAAAGTTTCAATCTGTGTTTCAATTTTATTATCGTAATTTTAAAAAGTAAAAAAAAACAGGACACAATGCTATTTTCTTTTTTGTTTGGCTCTGCATTTAGTTTGGTCTGAACTTAGCGTTTATGCGCTTACACTTTTTCCGTGTGCTCAATGATATTTTAGTGAGACCTGCATCATTTGTTGAATCTCTGTGTTTTTAATGTTTGCACTCTGGAAGCTGGGTTTCTTTGCCGTTTGCTTTGACACTGTCTGCTCGCAATGGGCTCTTTACTTGGCTATAAATCCTGGCAATCTCCGTCAACCCCCAAGGCAGAATCTCGCGTGAAAATAAAGGAGAGAAGTATCCAAAAAGTATAAATTATCTCATTCTGTGTTCTATTACGTTTCCATTCCATTCAATAGTTAAATGCATTCCTTTCGCTCCATGGCAAGGAAAACACATGGGAAAGTTTTCCACAACACAACAGTTACATTCTGACAACAACCAATTCATGTTCCAGGAGTGTATGTTATTCATATTTCATCCACGGGAAATAGTTACTGAATGTTGGAGTCACATTAAGTCCCGAGCAGCAGTCCACACTGCATGCAATTGCTCCATGAGCTGCTGTTGTTGATAATCAGCTCCTTGGAGTGACTTGGACCATGTTCTGGTGAAGTCTCAAACGTTGCCATCCACATCGGGATTTCATAGAACCGCTCCTCTTGCATTACAGGCACGTGTTTTGGTTCGTGTACCGAAAGGAAAACGTAATCAAATCTTCTGACTGTATTATTACAAATCTCAGTTTGACTTTCGCTATGCTGACATCACGTTTTGCATCAATACCCCCCCCCCCCCCCGACTCGAATTGGATTTGCAACCGAACAGTCCCAGTGCTCTCTGGTGTTTGCTGGGTTGGCATGGTTCTGACGAAACACACGTGCCTAAAGTGACCTCTACTCCCGCGCTTGCCCCAATGCAAAGCACGAGAGATGGTATATTTTTACCACTTTGCCTGCAACCTTTCCATTTTCGCTGGCGTTTCAACTAAAGCAATTCGATTCTATTTTTTTTTGTATACATTGCAGTAATTTTGTCGAGTCTCGAGTGGCTGCCGGGGTGACGAACCAAATACATTCTAGATACATATATGAATACAAAAAAATTAACCCATCGATTCTTATACAAAGAACTGATCTTAAGCTACGCATCGATGCATCATCCCACCCCTACAAAGAACCCAACAATCATGTCTAATTTAATTCAAAAGTAAAGCTGTAATGCAGCGGACGTGTGGTTGGGTTTCTTACATTAAAAATAACGACGACCTTTACGCACAAAAGCCTCACCGAACCTGAACACTTTTTTTCAGGCGCGACCAACATTGGGACGTTTGGCCAATTCCCATGAATTAGTTTTATTGCTGCACGTGGCAAGACACGCATGAGAGGGACTAAGCACCACATATGTAGATTCAAACATCCATTGCTGTACTACCATCTCTTGTGCACCTACCTCTCAGCCCAAGCCTACGACATCTGACATTCCCAGGCAAGTTCACATTCGCCAGGAACCAGGCGCGGTCTGCTTCAGCTTCCGAGATCAGACAAAGTCGGGCGCGCTCGGGGCTACTTGTGTCCATTCTTAAAGTTGGTTACACGTGTACGTTGGTGAGAGGGCGTTGGTGAGGATGGCATTGGTGAGGAAGGTGTTGGTGAGAGGGCGTTGGTGAGAGGGCGTTGGTGAGGATGGCATTGGTGAGGAAGGTGTTGGTATAGAGGGCGTTGGTGAGGATGGCATTGGTGAGGAAGGTGTTGGTGAGAGGGCGTTGGTGAGGATGGCATTGGTGAGGAAGGTGTTGGTTTAGAGGGCGTTGGTGAGAAGGCGTTGGTGAGAGGGCGTTGGTGAGGATGGCATTGGTGAAGAAGGTGTTGGTGAGAGGGCGTTGGTGAGGAAGGTGTTGGTGAGAGAGCGCGTGCCACGAGTTCGTGACCTTCAGCGTTGACAGCTCGCTGTCCTCTTCCAGGATTTTGCGGATGTTGTTGGAGACCCTTGGGATGATCCCGTCGACCATGTGCAGGACCCCGTTGGTGGCCAGGATATTCGGCTTGATCACGCGAACGCAGTTCACCGTCAGGATCTGCGCTCTCGGGCAAAAAAAGCAATTTGCTTGCCTGGGTGCGTGTGTTGTGGTTCTAAGCAGCCACTCGCCATTTGACAAATTGCGCTCGGATATGGCCACGTGCTGCGTGACTTTGCATAAGAACGGGTCACGGAACAACTGGCTCACGTAAGTAAAAAGAAAGCAAATGGAGTTACCGTGTAATTACACGGCATGGCGTGTAATTACAGACACAGTCCGCAGTTGGGGAGAGAAAAAAAATAATTGCGTAGTTATTACAGATGATTGCCCTGAGTTTTGTCGTGCTACAAGGCGAATGTTAACTACAACGTAACCCCATTATCTTGAAATGAAACATCGCGTTGCAGATGAACCGGGTCGCGCAAGTCGTGAGCCAACTGACGGTCGCGGGTGTCGTGTCCGTCATGGGGTGCGTGTGACGGCGGCCTTTCGCGTGTACATTCTTTGCGTCCACTCAATGCGGGTCGACCGTACATTGCCTGTATGTATGTTGAACTTCTTTCGCACCGTGCGCAGCCAACCACGCTAATCGGAGGCGCATTTCAGACGGCTGCAGAAGCACGTCTGATTCCGCGCAGGTCGACATTGCTGAGGCAACACGCAGCTCAACAAGACATCACAAAGTTGTCAAAAGCGCATTGCCTCGGTGCGTATGGGAAAAAAATAACCCATCGGCATTTCCTGAAGAAGCTGCGTTGCAGGGGTCACCGTCAAAACCCATTTGAGCAAATGTAACCGACATTTGACGTTATTGTATTTTTTTTTATTTTGATGGGGATTGAAGATGGGGATTGAAGAGGACCACAATGCACTTCTTCAGGAAATGTTGATTCTATTTTTTTTTGCACAATGCACACAAGGCTCTGTGTTTTTTACGCATGTTTTTGCCTCGTTTGAAACTTCTGGGTTTCCAGCCTGCACCATTATCCCATTATGACGGGGTTTTATCGTCTTTTACAGCTTTGACAAAAATAATCAACAAACTCAGCCCTTATTCTTGTTTCTTTCGGTAAAGTCACGTAGAATGGAAACAATTAAATAAAAAAAATATAAAAAATACAATTCTCACGACGTTTCGACTGCAACACAAGCTTGATTGCTTGTTTGTGTTGCAGTCGAAACGTCGTGAGAATTGTATTGTTTTATATTTTTATTATGTAATCGTTTCCCTTCTACGTGCCTTTACCGAAAGAACCAAGGATATGAATCCCTGCGGTCACGAAAGCTTCAAATCAAAATTTAAACTCAACTCTGTTGCGTTTCACACGCAGAGAAGCGAGGCTGCGTTCAGCTTTCTTAGCATGATTGGCTACGTATGGTGCGAAAGAAATTCAACACATATTTTGCACATACGTACATTTGGCCGCCCCCCTCCCCTCCCCCGTTGGCCGGGGCCATCCCGTGCCGACAAAAACATTGTGGTAATATCGAAACAACTCCCCGAAGGCGCGTTTCGCAACATGCGGGGGTAAATCTCGCGTCAGTGTTTGCCTATAACGTCGCCATGGTGTCTGTAGCCGACAGCTGTAGACGGTAGTCCTTAGGCGCCGTGAATCCTGTCTGATTTGGCGCGGGTTGCCAACATTTTTTTTGTACCATCGTTCGTTCGGGACGTTGAAGCTAGGGCGCAACGATTAATCGATTTCAAATCGAAATCACAATTTTGAATAATGCGATTAGCAAATCGCAAAGGCTGCGATTTCTTTGCGATTTGAAAAGTCCTATTAATTTCTTATTGGAAATGTTTGAATTTCTTATTTTTAGAAATTTCATTGATTTAACTTAACAATTGTTCTATGTTTGATTGCTCTATTTCAATTAAACCATTTCAATAAATACACGTTGGAAGCAATTCATATATTTTAAGTTATCATCCTTGCATTAGAATATATAGAGCAGTTCATATATTTGATGGTATCATGATGGTAATGCTCCATCACGTGTTTTAAATCTATTACACAATGAATATTGAACTGAAGCTTGACTTGTTTTTTTTTAATCGCAAATCAAATCGCAATATCTGTCAGAAAAAAAAAAGCAATTAGATATTTTTCCCCCAAAACGTTCAGCAACTAGTCGAAGACTCTTCGCGCGAGCCCTGAGGTCGACGGTGGGGCGGTGTCCGTGGTAAATCCGCCTCCTCCCTCACCCCCCCAACTCGCCCACGGCGCAGGAAGACAACTGATGTCGACTCGTTTACGGCGACGGAGCCTCAACCCCCGCGTCGACGCGAAACCCACGCGTGTGTATAGCCCCACTGTGGCCTTGCCTACCTGCTACCTACAACAACAACCACCACCATCACCACCACCAACACCACCACCACCCACCTCATCCAAACACATTGACTCAAGGTTGTACCCCTCTGAGACGTGGAGCGGGGAGAGTGTTACAATGACCAGGCGTGCAGGAAGGCACCAGTGTACATGTGCTGAACATCATTTGCAGGCCGTCGAGTGATTGCCATCTTCCACAAACAAACGCCGGCGCTATATTTATACCATGTATGAGAAAGGCGCGTGGCACATCTTTGATACCAGTTACCGTATTCCTTGGATTATAAAGTTTCCCCGAAAAGTAAGAAGCACTCCAAACTTACGCCTGATATTCAAAACTGTCCGGTGCTTTAGAGTTCCACAATTCTTATCGCACACACACACCTACCGGAGTATAAGACGCCACCCTGTTAACTTTCGCTTTAAATTACAGCGAAAAGAAAAAAGTGCGTCTCATAAGGCAGAGAATATACGGCGCACAGAAACGCTTGCAACGCCGTGCATGCCTTGGGATTATGCTTCTGAATCGAGGACTTTTCAGAAGATTGGCCACAGCAAGTGTTTGGCGAAGAACAATCCGACACTTTACCTTAATCGCTGCTGATTTTACAACCTGCCCATGAAACTGGAACATCGCGGTGCGGGGGATGTTGCCCCACTTGTGGACAATCTCGTGGATTTAAAAGCGCACAATGTCAACGCGACCGAACAGGCGGATTGCTTGTTTGAGGTTCCCTGAAGGGATAATCAGCGGGATCTTGTTGGATTTCCGACCGGTGCAAGCCCGGAGCCCGGTATGGCGGGGAAGAGAAACGCTTACGAGCAGCACACCGTTCGCCACCATCGCAGCAGCGTGCAAGCTTATAACAGTATTGCTAATTATAACGCGATTTCTCCACAACGCGGTGTTCTCGCGGGAACGCAGCGAACGACCGCGTTGTAGGAGAACAGAGAAAAGCGGGCGGGCCGACTCACGCCGTTGGGCGACTGCTGCACGTAGATGGAGCGGCCGGACTGCATGGAGGCGAGCGCAGAGCCGGACTTGAGGTGTCGGGAGAGCAGCCTTTTGTTGACGGCGTGCGACAGCAGCAGCGACTTGAGCACCGCCGGGTCCTCCAGCTCCGCTGCCTGCACCTGCCCCGTGACCCCCGCGCACACGGCAACAACGTAGCAGCGAGGGCAGCGGCAGCCCAGCACCCAGTGACGTAACGAGCGTGGGGGGCAGGGGGTGCCTTGCCCCCCCCCCCTCCCCCCGTGGCCAAAGCTACGAGTTGGGTCCCCCTTGACAACCACCACGAGATATGTTTTCAACAACGGTGTCAAAGAACAAAACGCTTATTTCGCGCAGACGGAGCGCCTCCCCCCTACAGCGTTAAATGTTCGAGACCGTGAGCGTCGCGATTGTGATTAGGCAAAGAGAAGCCACGATATCGAATAGCCTCGGTGCGACCGTGCGAGACAGATCAAATATTGGGGCCTCACCTGACTGATTGCCCGCACCCCCTGAGATCATCATTTAGTTTCGCCACTGAACGCAGGTGATGGGTGGACCGACTCTCCGATGAGTTTATGGTTTGTGCCGCGTGCTGTTTGGCTTGATGTCTGACATTACTCCGCTTAGGAGGTTTGTTCTGGCACTGAACTGAGGCTCCCAGTAGATGCAGCGATATGTCGGAGAGCGTGCCGTGCCAGAACCTGAATTTTTTTACTGCACGACCGCGAAAACCGAGCCTGTCTTAATGGGTGGGCTCTTTAGCCTTGTCAGAGCCAATTGAGATAAAAAATGCAATGACATTTAGAGCTGTAAAGAGTCCAAATGTGACCATATATCAAGTTTAAATCAAATATAGGAATGGTCCATCCAGAGTGTTTAATATTTTTTTTGACAGCAGGGAAGGATGGGTAGAATTCTATAAACCATGGAGATCATTGCGATGGCATTTATGAAGATACTCCGTAGAGTGGTAATTTGAAGAAGAGAGGAGGATAATCTTTAGCCTGGACTTTTCCACGTCGACCGTGCAAAAGAAATATAGCCATCGCTATTACGTGAGAGACCTGGCATGTGTTTGTATAATCAAGTGCAAATATACAAGGTGTACAATTTTTTTGTTTTTGCCAATTTCAGTGATTACATTTAACGTTGTGAAAATAGTTAAAAACTATTTTCGCAACGTCAACGTTGGTGACTCGTTCAAAGGACGTGTGGGGGAGTTATCATGTCCTGTTTGTTCGAAGCCATTGAGTGTAGAGGAAATTCTACGTTCCTATGGCGGGGCAAGTTTATCTATTGGACAACCAATTATTACACAATTTGGAATTGCTGCGAAGACTAAACAACATGCTACGCACGACTCAAGCATATTAAAGCGGAACTATAAATGTTATTTCATCTTATTGGCAAGGAGCACATTTTTCAGGGTTTTATAGAAAGTGTAACGTAAATGTTGTTTGCGTAACTTTTTTAAATATATACGAGCTCGTTTTTTGAAAGAAGCACACACAATTCCGGCGAATTTATTCCACGAATTCGGCTGTTTCCACTGGGCCCACATCTAAACATGTATTTTTCCAAATTAGTAACAGTTTCCATCCAAGCAAATAAAGTACAAAAAAAATAAGTAACGCGAGTAGAAACTTTTGCTGTTTAGGTATTTCTTAAAATATTTATATCGGTAATAATGCTTAATAACACAATTTCCATTTCAATGTTTGTTTTTATATAAGGCGCAGCCCTGCAAGTACTCGCTCACACCACTGCTGACTCAAAGGTCTCCACTAGAGGGAGCGCTGGAGAGGCTTTATGGAGGGTATTTTGGTCTACTCTTCCACGCTGGAAAGACGTCTCGATACTTTACGTCTTGACGCTTCACCCCACCACGCGCGACCTGCCGATCGACTCAGCTGTGGTGTCGTGGGGGTGGCGGGAAGGATTTAAAAAAACTTGTCCATTCTTTTTCTTACATTGCAAAGAATTAAGGTGTACATTTTAATTTTATTTAAGAGCACGACACACTTAACAAAAATATGTATCACTGAAATAATATCATGCTGCAGTAACAATGCTTTGCCCTGTGCAATGGAGATAACTTAAAATATCGAAGCGTGTGTGATTTATAATTGATTTACCCGCACTACCACACGTTCGTCCATTACAAAAAGGACGGATAACCTCAACCGAGAAGTGTCACGTGTTGTCTCGGGAACCCTTACATAACTTTAGGGCCGCTGGTTTTGGTAAAACTAAAAAAAAAGGTTTGAAGAATTATTGAGATTGAGCGGAGCGCACTTTGAGACTACATCGTGCTAATCATTGGAGATGTTTAAACGAGGGCTTGAACTACGCCTGCGATTTAAAGCGTGACTGTTTTTTGTTGTTGCAACCACTGTAGTTAATATAACCATGACTGGTATTGATCAAAGAGCAAAATTAAACATATTTTCCTCATTCTTTTTTGAGTGGAATTTGGGAATAATTTACGAGTTATTGTCAATTCTGGTAATAATAATACTGCTTCCTCGGGGAAATAAACACTTGTTCTCTCAATATTTTTTGGCTCCAAGACCATCTGTGGCCCAATTTTGGGCAAAAGAAGAGCACAGCACTTTCAGGGACACTGGCTGCGATCGGAGGCTGGGGGCCTGTGAGTTGTGACTGTGGCATTTTTGGCCACAAACTTATCCTACAAAGGAAGGGCCTTCTGCCCATCTATAGAAACTTTCACATTTGATATTGCGGTTCAATCAACAGGCGTAACGTGTCCACGGTCCTGACCCTGCTCTTGCGAGGAGAACCGGGACGAGTAGTCGATTAGGTCAACTGATCGACTAAAATCGAGTTTAAAACCAATTTCTTTAGAACTTATTTTTGTGTCCAGTTTGTTGTCCCCCCCCCCCCCCCGCACCTGGGATCAGCACAGTTGGATACGTACGGTGCGAAAGAAGTCCAACATACATACTTAAATAACACAAAAAATAATCAACGCTTTTTGCGGTCGATTATTTGGGGCCGTTTTAAAACTGGTGGCCGGCCCCACATCCTGCCTCCGGAAAGTGGGAAACCTCCTAAGAACTTCGGTCAGCGTGATGCGGATGACGCCTTCAATGAAGCCAACAAGCACCTACCTATCACATCGAGTCCAGCGTCGCACATGGGAACTTCCCCCCCCCCCCAACTATTTTCGTGTTAAATTTCGATTTAAAGCTTTGCGTGACTGCAAGGATTCATCTTCTTTGGTTCTTTCGGTAAAGTCACGTAGAATGAGAATAAAATAATAAATTGTTATTTTATTTTATCAATTTATTTTTTTATTCTCATTCTACGTGACTTTACCGAAAGAACCAAAGAAGATATTTTCGTGTTGTCCGTTTAGTCGGTCGAGTCGTAGGCCTGATCAGTCGGTCGAGTCGTAGGCCTACTTAAATAAATCGGACAGGCGAGCTCTGGCCGTGAGTTATCGTCGATGAGCGGTCACTGCGCTCGTGAACGGTGCGGTGGGTCGTACGCACTGCGGGAATTCTCTCCCACGCCTCGTTGGTGGGCATAAAGAAGGTGTAGGCGCCCGGCCCATCCAGGTCGCTTCCCAGGTCTGCCTTGTCCACCCGCGCTTTGGTGACCTTGATCCCGAGGCCGTCGACTGTCTTGTAAATGCTGTTTAGTGGGACAACTGCAAAGCGGAAGGAGAGAGCAACAAATTACGATCAGCCAGTTCAGTTGGTGGCACACTGGTTGTTCCACTGTAATATGTACCCGTTGAGACACGAGTTTGATTTCCGACCACGGATAACATCAGTGGTGAGTAATATATGAACCCATCCTGGATCTCCCCTGCACCAATCCGTCCTGACTTGCATGCTGACGTATGGTCAAACAACCCCCACGACCAACACGATCTGGGGAGGTTTTTATCCAGCGGTGGATTGACAAAGCTCCGAATATAAAAAAAATTTCGTCGCTATTATTCGACTTGACGTACTCAAAGTCAATCTTGCACTGCTGAAATGACCGTGGCCTGGTGCATATCTCCGTTCCGTGGCCCAAAGACGGTGGTGAAAATATCAGATTCCAGTGGCAGGTGACAATATCCACGGTATGAGAAATGAGAACGGAGTGACCCCACTTACTTGCTGGGCAGCCTGTTTGTCCGGACAAAGATACGTAACCAGGACAGCATTCGTACGAGACAGTCCTGCAAAAAAAAATATATGCACAGGTGCAAACCACATGAAGGACAGGTAAGGCCCACTGAGCTATATAGCTCGTTTTCAGAAGCGACCTGGCCACAAATGATAGCTGAACGAAGTGGTTTCGCGCGTGAAATTTTATAGCAGCCAAATACTCTAAATGCACGTTTCTAAATGTGTACGGAAAAACCGGAGGACCCGGAGAAAATCTATGCGACCACAGGGAGAACAACAAAAAAGTTTTACAAATTGATGAAAAATTTGCGATTTCAGAGTCAACTTATGCCTCCAAATGGTTCACTGGTGATAGACCGCAGCATCATGAGGCGACACGGTAAAGGCGCGGCTCTGCTAATACTTGCTCATGCTACCGCAAAAAGGTCACCACTATTGGGAGCCTTAGAGGGCCCTCATTGAGGGTATGTTGACCTATTCTTCCACGTTGACCAGATGTCTCAAAAGACGAGAGAGTAATCCACACTTTTTCCCACCAGAAGCCAACTGATAGTCGATTGTGATGCATCCATTTACATTTCTGGGTGGACAGAATCGTGGAGATTTAAGAAACTTGCCCCATTTTTTTAAATTGAATCTTGGTCAGAATATGTATTCATCCTGGAGAAATCCAATGAGCTCTGAAGCTCTTTCTCACAGACGTCAACCTGCTGTGCTGGGAGATCGAATCAAACCAGCGACCTATGGATTGCAAGTCCGGTGTGCTAACCATTTCACCACAGCAGCATCAGCATAGTTAGGTCAGCTTCATGACGTATTTCAGACTGCCTCCATATAATGAGGAATGTCTGCATAAACAATTAAAGATTTTTGGAATATTCACGTTTTTGTACTTTTCAACCATATGCCGACTTCACGCCAATTTTCGACACCGACACATTTTTTTACTGCCAACATGCTAGTGTGGGTTTGTCAACATTTGGTGTTCTTCTGCAGTCGAAACGTGAGTTTAACACTATATCATTGCTAGCAATTGCCCCTCCATCCCTGGAATTGTCTACCATGATTTTATGTTGACATTAATCCTGTGCTGTGAATTAGACCAAAAAACCCATCTATTGTGCCACGAACCATTGTAAACGTCTACATGAATTGAGACTTCATAGCCCTTAAGTATTCTTGACAATCGTGGCCATGCCTTCAGATCTTACTCTTTGGCTTACACATTCGGCACGGGGATTATTATAAATTATCAAGTTTCAGGGAAAAATCCCATGTGTCCAGGTCATACTGGGTGAGGTTTGGTGGATTTTCACAGAGCAATCAGATAAAATAAAATGTTCCCAAGACCAGTTCCAAACATAATAAACACAACAGGGCAGGTCTTGCAAATGTTTGCGTAGCAGTTGATTTTAAGCAAGGTAAGGAAAACTGGACCCGAGTGGCGAATTAAGAGGGGAAAGATAGAAAGACAAAAAAAGTACTCCTCGCTAGCCATGTTTTTTTTTTCTTTCCCCCATCGCTATCGGGTCGCTATTGTGCGAGAGCTAAAGAAGATTACACGTCCCTAAGAGGTTGCGTGTTCCATGAATGGAGCGCCCCTATATTTGAGTCCCCCACATTCCATGCTAACCGCTCTGAGGAGCGGCTGCCATTGTGTCCCAAAGTCCTATGTAAGGACAATGCACAAATGTATAAATATTTTTTTCCTATCATAATTTTTTTATCGTTTACAATTCATCTTCGGGACATTGGGATTTTTTTTTACACAGATGTAGTTAAATGCATTTTTTAATGTTCATAAATAGTCAAAGCATGTGCTTAATAATTAACAGTAAAAGTTAAAGCTAAAGATGCAGGCCTGCAATTGCTTGCTCACGCCCACTGCTGGCAGAAGGACCCTGCGCCAGAGGTAGCTATAGCGATCCCCTCTAGAGGGTATTTGGCCTACTTTTCCATGCTGTCTAAACGTCTTGTAACAGGTGGAAAGGACCCACATTTTGCCCGGCCACAAAATACCCACTGATCGATTGCTTTGGCTCACGGCAAAATTAACATTAAAATACCGTCATTTGACCCTCCGATTATATCATATTGTTTCAACTTCACCTTCACAAAAAAATTGCACTCACAAAATAATAAGCCAGTGAAAACCGTAAATTAGTTTTATGTCTTCTGGAAGCTTGTTTTAGCTACAAGACAAATATTTTCCACCTCAAACGCCCCCATTCAGAGTTGAGTCTATAGGCTCAATGAGCTCGCAAGAATTCTACACAAAGGTGTTGTTTCTTTCATCAATGGTAAATGCATTCCTGTGGCGTTTCCCCGACTGTGTCTAAACATTGCGGGGAATGGAAACGCACACTCGGCGTATTTACCCCCCTTGCTCATTGCCTATCTTAACTGTAATTGAGCAATCAATGCATAATTCCTCATTTTGTTGTTGTTGCTAAAATTCATCGAGATACGCGCTCTGCTTTTTGTTGTATTCACGTAAGCTTTTATCACATCCGTCCTTTACATCAATGCGATCTTCAAAGCTGTCATTAAGTACACGATTAAACGGCGTTTACAATTAACACAATAAATGGGCAATGGCATTTGGAAGCAAAGCGCGGTGAGATGACGCACACAGTTGTATAAAATCAATGCAACTGAAGTGGCTTGCAAAAAAAAGAGAAATACTTAAAAATGTAACTTTAGCCCTTGCCACTGAAGTTAATGTCACAAATTGCCCGCAGACGGCAGCAATGAAGGGCCTTGCAGAACGGATGGATGCGGTGTGAGGGGGAGCTTCGGTTCTTACGCAGGACGATTGCAAATCTTCTTTCTGTACCACAGTTGGCAAGACGAGAAATACTTCTTGCCATTCTCGATTTGCTGCACAGCGCACATGTTGGGTCTGCGCAATGCACGCGCACACACGGCGAAACCAGAAATGAGCGTTTACATTTCACGTGAGTTTATGCACAACCGCTTAGCAAATATATACATCGATATTTTTGTAATACACATGGTGATCAATGTGTATAGGTGACCCACTAAAATATTTTGGAAAAATAAATGTATCGAGATTTAATTTTCATTTTTTACCCAAACCTATCTCAAAGCACCTCTTGAAATAGTGTAACATTGTCCCAAAATACTGTGTATCAATATAGCCATCGCTTTCCCAATATTTATGAGATTGTAATAGGGTCATTAAAAATAAGTATCTATACATATACCGCCCTGTAAAATGAATGCATTTTATTTTAGATATTTTTGTGCAATCAACCGGGCCCATTACGTACATTGCAGTTTCTTATATTAACTGCCAGAAGTTTGAAATAAACCTTGACAAGTTGCATGCATTTTAAAGCCCATTACTAATGTTTTCATAACTATCAGCGAAAAGCCTTTGCAGTGATGATTCAACAAGTGTACACAATGCAACATTATCTTATTTCATAAAAAAAAATTGCCGGCATTAAAATATTTTTTCACTCAGAAATCACGAAGCAACATTTCTCGCGGAATAATCATATTTGGTGAAAGTTGCACAACTTACCCTTCTTTTATGGCACGGATCCGGCTGTGAGTGAGTAGCCGGTCTATGGCGGACGATGAGGCATTGTGGACTAACCACAACACCAGAAAAGCCGCAAAGCCAGTGCTCCACTTGCACTCCATTCGGAAGAGTTCTGAGCGAAGACCGGGGATTTGCTCCTCGTGGGAAGTGGCCGAGTCGCAGCAAAGGGCCTTATATCAAGCTGCTTAGCAATGGCCACCCGCCAGATAAGGGCTCGTGTTTACATTGCGATTAGCAGTCAACAGCTGCGGGAAATAAAGGCTGAAGTCACTAAAGACCTCCCTCGCTCCCTCCCTTTCACTGCCGCCCACTTTTTAGTAATGTTTGGACCACTGCCAAGGCGATTCGTGGGAATGGCATTTTGTAAATGTAAGTCGTTTCCTCACTGCTAATATTTGGGGGAGGGGGGTATTGATTATTAAACAAAAATGTCATCTGAAGCCTCTTTACTGTCATTGTGTAGTTTTTCTCGCACCTTATGTGTCCGAGTCAGATTGAATGCCGTCAAGGTTTGTCATGATTACGGTACAACAATCATGACGGTGTTCCATCTTTGGCCACGGATAACATCGATTGATATCTGAACCGGTTCTGGATCCCCACTCCCCCCCCCTCCATTTCGCCAAACCGCACCGAGCGGCTTGGTGAAGTATGGTTAAACACATCACCATGTCCGACGCGGCATGAGGGGGCCTTTGCCCAGCGGTTGTTTGACAAAGGGGCTCAAAATGATCGTCATTTGTGGCGATAATAAAAAAAAAACTGCTCAACTGTAGTCGTAAAACAATATGAGTGGGGTTCACGGTGAAGCAACGCTCGACAGGATGGGAGCACCACTGACCACGGAACAAAACGACCAAGCGGCCGTCATAAAATAGCAAACGTGTCCTGCCCTGGGATAAATAATGTTGTTCAGAAATCAAAGGGTGAATCTGCAGCAGCTGTGCTGTAATGCACAACATCTCTCCGTAAAAGAAAGCACAGAACGAAAGGATAATGCCAAAAGAAGTGGCTTGCGATTATTATTATTGAAATAAATGTTTCAGCACGTTGTCAGTCTACTTGTGGATGAAGGCTTCCTTCCCCGTACTGTGTAAGCCACGGGGGTTGTTGTTTTATTCACCACACTGGCTCGTGGAGCTTGGTGGAGGGAGCAGGCCTACGACCAATTCAGATATCACTTGTCACGGATGTAAGATGTAGCTGCAAATCGAATTCAGGTGGATAGGTTCATAGTCGCATTGCACAGCGGTAAAATAATCGAGTAGGTCTTTTAATTTGTATTTTTTGGAGTTCTGGTTTTTTTTCGCACCCTTACAGGCAGGATGTGTAACCCAGCATTGGCTAGGGCGTGTAACTGTCCACACGATTGTTCTAAAAACCCTCTTTGATGAACAAAGCTGGTATTCTGATGGGAGCAACTGTGGAATGGGGTGTGGTTGATACATATCCTATTCCAGCCAAGTCAAGAATGACAAATGTGTGATTTTACTTGAATGCACGGCCGTTGGCAAACGGTCCGCTCTCATACACTCGTACTTTGTGATCCTAAGCTGCGGTTAAAAATCGCCGCCCGTAGCTTATGTGTGCCACACAGCGCTCTGTGCAACCCGCGGCTTAGCATGTGAACACTTAAAATAAATGTACGCTTTGTCTGACAGTTGCCTGCTGTAGCTGACAGAGATTGTATTGATCCAGTCAACTGAAGCAGGCAAAGTGATGAAACACTGGAATAAGAATACTGTGTTAAAGCAAAGGTCAAGTACAACTGGTTCACTGAGCAAGGGGAAATAATTGTTGGAGTGACGAAAGTGGAAAACGCAAAAGGAGTATGCAAATTGAAGCTAAAGGGGCAGCCCCTGCAATTTCTTGCTCACTGCAAGGATCATCATCCTTACAGCGGCTTTTGGCTCGCCATCGAACAAAGACGGCCGACTGCATCAGATGCGCTTCTCCTGGCCGTCTGGAACGTTCTTCCTTCCGATATTGGAAAGCCACTTTTAAATCATCTAAATTAAAACTAATTTCTTTCGAACAGTTTTTTGTGTTTAGTTTTCTGTCCTTCCCCCGCAACTTTGATTAGCACAGTTGGCTACGTACGCTGCGAAATAAGTTCAATATGCATACATACACACAATAACATTCTTAATGGCAGAAATCCCTATGCAAATAGCCAGCACTTTAACACCACTGACGAACCCAAGGAATTTAATTTGAACTTCAAATGTCTCGTTGACCGTCCCCAGAGCAAGAATTGGACTTGGTATCGATGCTTTCGCGGCTGCGGCACCCACATTGTAAAGTCCCCTTGTGTCCTCCTCTCTCCTTCATGGTGAAGTGCTTCTCAAAACTCTCGCTCGACGTCAACCGCAGCCGCACGTGCCACCGTTACTTGCAAATGTCTTTTGACAATCGTGAAATTACAACTGCGATTTATCCACTCATTGTATATACTTTTTAAACTATCGCTGTTATTTGTTTTCCATATAATGATCTTTTTTTCGGGTTCGACTTAACATTCGTTTCTTTAATTTTACTTCACATTCGGTTGTTTAATTTATCTACCTACCTACGTAACCTTCTCTGCACATTGTCCGCCATCATCTGTGAAGAATAACTTCATAGCTCATCAGGTTAAATATCGTGTTCTTTGGTTCTATTGGGTAAAGTCACGTAGGTAAAAAATAAAATAACAAAAAAATCACGACGTTTCGGCCACAACACAAGCGGCCTTCATCAGGTGAAGGGGACGAGACTGTCTGGAGGACAGCGCTGGAGTGAAAAAAGCCACGCTCAGATCACGACCTTTAAGCTGTGTGAGAAGAAACAAAGCGCCTTGACAAAGGAATTAGCATAGAATTTAGCATTGAAATGGCTCATTGAAATAGTAAAATTAAAGTATACACATCCGCAGAGGCACCCCTTGACAAAGGAATTAGCATAGAATTTAGCATTGAAATAGCTGAATGATTAGCTTGTAACTGGTCACAGAAATAGCTATGTTAAAGGCAGAGCATATACATTCACCGAGGCACCTAGTACAAATCAAACAGGATAATTTAGCGAAACACAACCACGCTCAGACCGCGGACCTTTAAACTGTGTGCGAGCAAACAAGGTGTCCTGACAAAGAAATTAGCATAAAAAATTTGCATTTGATTGGCCGATTTTAGAAAAGAGGTGGTGTACGTGCCGGTGGACTTGCCGTTTGGCGCGGGGGGGGGGGGGGGAGTTTACCTATTGATGGTGTGAAAAGGGAATTTATAAGAGCTGCGAAAGTTTGGGGTACCACTACTTGAAAAATATACTGTACAGAGATTTGTTCACGAGGCTATTCAGATCTACAAAACACAGACACAATTTCAACCGAGAAGATGGTTTCAAATTAAGCAACCATTGGAAAGATGTTCTAAATCGAACTAAACATTAAACTAATTTCAATGGTACAGTATATTTTTCAAGTAGTGGTACCCCAAACTTTCGCAGCTCTTATAAATTCCCTTTTCACACCATCAATAGGTAAACTCCCCCTACCCCCCCCCCCCCCCGCGCCAAACGGCAAGTCCACCGGCACGTACACCACCTCTTTTCTAAAATCGGCCAATCAAATGCTAATTTTTTATGCTAATTTCTTTGTCAGGACACCTTGTTTGCTCGCACACAGTTTAATGGTCCGCGGTCTGAGCGTGGTTGTGTTTCGCTAAATTATCCTGTTTGATTTGTACTAGGTGCCTCGGTGAATGTATATGCTCTGCCTTTAACATAGCTATTTCTGTGACCAGTTACAAGCTAATCACTCAGCTCTTTCAATGCTAAATTCTATGCTAATTCCTTTGTCAAGGGGTGCCTCTGCGGATGTGTATACTTTAACTTAGCTATTTCAATGAGCCATTTCAATGCTAAATTATATGCTAATTCCTTTGTCAAGGCGCTTTGTTTCTTCTCACACAGCTTAAAGGTCGTGATCTGAGCGTGGCTTTTTTCACTCCAGCGCTGTCCTCCAGACAGTCTCGTCCCTTCACCTGATGAAGGCCGCTTGTGTTGTGGCCGAAACGTCGTGATTTTTTGTTATTTTATTTTTTACCTACGTGACTTTACCCAATAGAACCAAAGAGTATGGATCCTAGCAGTCACGCAAGCTTTAAATCTAGAATAAATATCGTGTCTTTGTCTATATTTCCGTGGAAAGGCCTCCGCTCGACGGAGCTCTGGAGAGCCCCTAAATAATGTATAGGGGCAGCCCCTGCAATTGCTTGCAATTGGGGACGCCACCATTGCGAGATGTTAACTACCTCGATTGGTATGCACGAGGTTGTGGGTTCGATCCCGACCCTGACGCCTGTTGTATATTTGGAATTTGCATGCCTCTCTCCCCGTGGTCGCGTGGATTTTTCTCCGGGTCCCCCGGTTTTCCCCTCCACGTTAAGAATCAACATCACGCGTTTAGAGTATTTGGCTGCTATAAATTTCCACGCGAAAAGTCACTTCGTTGAGCTACCATTTGTGGCCGGGTCGCTTCTGAAAAATAGCTATATGGCTCAGTGGGCCTTACCTGGTAAAAACAGTAAATTAAAATAGTGAAATAGTATTTTGGCCTATTGGTCCATATTGAGCAGACATCATTGGAATATGGGGATGTACCCAGACTTTACCCCACCACACACAACCTGTCGATCGATCATTTATCCCACTGAGTCGACAACCGTGGGGCAATTTGAATAAACTTGGCCATTGCTCCAGTTGAATTCGAATGTGTAATGTGCCGAGCATTTCACCATGGCTGTATTAAAAAAGAAAAAAGTATACGTGCTAATTTTTTTTTTAAAGGCGGACGAGCATTACAATTATGAAATATAGAGTTCAGTAGAACCACGGTTGGAGTTCTTTGGAAAAATAAACTGACTCTGTGAAAAGCAACGTACCCACATGGACAAAGAGACACGTTTTCAATCATTGCGTATTGCTCGCTACGACTTGTGGATTGTAAACAGGAGTGCGGCCGCTCTGGGCTTAATCTAAACAAACAAATGTGGATGATGACTATTATCCCTGCACCTGGCCCTGCTTGCTCCCGAGTCAGTTTAAAGTGTCTCGTTAGCACGGTTGGCTACCTACGGTGCGAAAAACGTTCAACATACATACATTGTGAGGCCGGAGTTTTACGGGTTGGTTCTGGCTCAGCTCGGCAAATATCCGGTGGAAATCCATCCCACGCTGTAAGGGGCCCGGTGTTGGCGCAGCTTGGG